TGATGCTGGAAGTGGACCCAACGTGACGCCATTGCCGGCGTTGAGGGCATGGCAGAGGCTATCAGAAAGGAGACCTTGTGCGTGCAGAAGAGGACCGGAATTGAGAGTCGCTACTTCGTCTTGTTCAAGGACAGGTTGGACTACTTTGCCACCGAGGCCGACGCGAAGTCCGAGCCGCGAGGTCGCCTGACCTTGAAGGAAGTGGAGAAGCTGGAGATTCAGGAGCAAGGCTTCTCGCTGATCCTGGCGGGAGGTGGGAGCTTGACGCTGAAAACTCCGGAAGGCTCCCTGGACCCCTGGGTTTCAGCACTACAACCCTTGCTCGAAGGCAGCAGAGGCAAGCCGAAGGCTAAGGTTTTCTGCTCTGGGTTCCTCAGTGTTGAGCGCAAGGGCCAGGTCAAGACGCCCTTCTTCGTCCTGCGACAGCGCAGCCTTGAACGCTACGAAACAGCTGCGGACTTTGAGAAGGGCGAGGAGCCACGCGCCATGCCCTTGGCAAGTATTGACAGAATCACGGTCAAGGATTTCCGCATCACCATCGAAGTGAAGGGCCAAAGCAAGCCTGTCGAGCTGCAGGTGGACAGCGCGCAGGAGTTCGTGCAGTGGGGCCGGTCGCTAGAACGGCTTCTTGCGCAGCGCCTGGGGGCAAACTTCACATCCTCCGTCAGCGCACACGAGGGCGTGTCGGGCCCTTTGGGAGACGGCCAGGATCCTGCACTCTCCAATGGAGGCAATGCAAGTATCAGTGTCCGCCGGGGAAGTGCGCCGCGTGAGTTGCCCAGGGTTCTTTGCGAAGGCGAGCTTCTCATGCTCAAGAAGGACACAGAAGAACCCAGGTATTGCGTCTTGCGAACAGACTGCTTTGAGTACTATGGCAGCAAAGAGGAGTTTCAAGCACGGGCGGCTGCAAGGGCGCGGGCTCTCCTCGAAGACGTCACTTCCTTCGATGTTTTAGACGGTGGCATCATGGAGGTGGAGCTGGGAGAAAAGAAGCTGGCGTTTAAGGCCCTGAGCGCAGAGGATCTTCACCGTTGGCAGATGGCGTGGGAGACAGATCCTGAAGAGTTGGTGTGGTGTCGAGCAAAAGCGCCGGTGGTGACCTGGGGCAAGTTCAGCATCCGAGGATCCCACGAGGAGACATCGTCTGGCATGCTCGTGCTGCGCGAGGACCGCTTGGAGTTTTTCAAAGGCAGGGACGGCTTGGTTCTTGATGATGACGAGCCAGACGTGAGCGCCTTATTCCAAGACATCGAAGACTTGGAGGTCAATGAGAATAGTTTGACAGTCCAACTTGTAGACCAACCAAGGACGTTCGAATTGTTTTCCCCTCGGGGGAAGTCACTCGAGGATTGGTGCATCGAGCTTCAGCACCTTTTCGAAGAGATGGACTCTGCTGCGAATGACCAAAATTCAGCAGATGAGGGCCACGAGGCAGATGAATCCGTCGACGAAGTCGACGAAGATATTGTCATAGCGAAGGACTTGATGCATGTCGTGAAGACGGTGAACGCCGCGCTCAAGACAGGATGCACACTGCGTGGCCACAAAATTCAAAGCGAAGCGGATTTTCACAGAGGGCTGGAGCAAGCAGATTCGAAGCTCGTCAAGCCGGATGATTTGGCCAGCGCATTAAAAGACCTGAATCTCGGCCTGACTGATGCTCAAGTCGAGTGCTTTGCGCTGTCGATGGACCTCAACAACGATGGAGGCATCGCCCTCGAGGAGCTGCAGAAGGCCCTGAAGCTCACCGAGGAGCTCCAGAAGGCCTTCAGGCTCACAGAGGAGGCCGTGGCTTCTGCTGCATCCAAGGTCCGGGACCGGCGGCAGGGAAAACTTCAACCCAAGAACCCCGACACTTCGACGGCCTCAAAGGCCCGGTTTTCGTGGTTTGAGGACCTGGATAAGGATCCGGAAGATAATGAGGACTCCAAAAGGACAGGAGCCAATCTGGCCTTGGAGGTTCAGGATGAGCGCGTCCAGGAGTGGCTGCAGGCTTTGCCAGCAGTTCACTGGGGTTTGCTGGGCTTCCGGCGCCACCAATGCGTGGTTGTCCGCCTCAGTGTTCTATTCCAGGACAGACTTGAGAGTTGGAGTGACGCTTGCAGCGCGACTTTGGGAACCAAGGCGGAGAACCGCATCCTGATGTCGAGTGTTCGCGGACTGGAGATGATCAGCGGAGGCCTGATCCTCAATCTTGGTGACAAGAAAGTGGGCCTCCACGTTGGCGACGACGAGAACTTGCAGCAATGGAGAGATGCTCTTCTGCGTGTTCTGGCAGCCAGCGAGGCCGAGCGGTCGGCGGGTCCTTGCACTCCGGCTGATCTACCTGGGTCTCAGGCACCCCCGGCAAAGGTCACGACTCCGGCAAAGGTCACGACTGGCTCCCGGAGGTTACAAGCCAGAGCACAAAAAGAATGCCGATTGCTTGAGCTTTTGACGACCCTAAATTCAAGCTCTGAGGTCTATTCTTGGGGATGAGGTCGTCCTGCCTTAAAGCCTCATGAATCCTACCTGCCGGGCGGGAAGAACGTTGAACCAGCAGGGCCGTAGAAGCAGGTTGCCCGCATTGAGCCAGATTCTGTAACAGGAAGAGGGAACTCAGACTCGGCATGTCGTAAAGGCATGAGTCAAGGGCCCGAGCGTGCAGCAATTGGGAAACAGCAACTAACAGTTGGTTAGCAATGTTCTACCTGTATGAACCTGCGTGAACCCCACACTCTGAGTTCTGCCCCACAACAAAATGCCGTGTGATGGCAGGCCAAGCAGCAACCGGCATTTAGCGATTCGACCCCATGTTTGCTCCGGGCTTGCGGGGTTTCTTCCGTCTCTACTCATCCCTCAGGAAAATACACCCGCCCCCTAGGCGGGGCAGAACGTGCATAATTGGGGAATGATGGGGTTCGCTTGCAACCCGAGCCATCAAGCACTGTGAGCAACTGCAACAACAAACATAAAGAGTTGCTACCAAGGGGGACATGGCGCCTACTAAATGATGGCAACAAAAGACATTCAGCAAGCCCAGCTCCCGACCTAGGCCACAGACCTCGAAGCCTCGCTCAGGAGTGGCTGGAAGCCATGCAGGTTCGCCAGGCCGCCTCGCAGACCATTGCGCAGATGCATCAGAAGCCGGCGCCTCGGATGGCCCCGCATGATTGACCTTGTCCTAAATCTTCACCTCCCACAGCTCCACGGGACAATCTTGAAGAAGCCAGTGCCGTGCCTGGCCATGAAAACCCGGCCCAGGCCTGCGGACACCCACGGGCCACGACGCCCACGACGCCAGGCTGCCAGGGCTTCCGTATCTTCGGGCACGGTGCGGCGCGGTGTCGCTATGTGTCGCTTCGACCCTGGTGATCCGCGGCCCGACTTTGCCCTTGAGCTGGGGCTCGGCTATGGACAGCAAACCTCTCCACAGCGCGGCCGCTTTAGCGCTCTGTCACGGCAGCATATGTCAGCACAGAAGCCAGGGGTATAAGCCCTGTGCTAGACCAATTTCACATTGAGTTCACGCAGCCCGTCGAAAGTACGGACGGGGCTCAACTTGCCAGCCAGGACACATTCACTTTGCGTTGGCCAAATGACGGGGTGCGGAATCGTGTTCCCTTATCGAAAGAATGTCGCGCTTGCTTCTGCTGGAGTGCCAGACACGGGAGTTGCTTCGAGTCGGCCCGTTCCAGGGATTTAATTAGTAGAGCCAAAGCTTCTTCAAGTACACATGCATTCTTACCGAACAAGCCAGATACGCACCCTGTCACATCAGGCAGCAGGCACGCAGTCTGACCCAGATAGTTCCTGCATGAACTTCCCAGCTTGCTCGGCCCACTTCTCTTCTCGGCCTGAACAGCTGTCCTTCATGGGCAGCCGCCTGGCCCTGGAGCCATGGCTGAGGAGGAAGGGCGGCTAATGAAGCAGATGGCCGCCTTCCTCCGGCACAAGGGCCTCAGGAGACCTGAGCCTCTTTGGGGCATTTTATAGGGTCTCTAGGGTCCTAGGCCTGCAGATGCCCGCTTCTTCGTTCGGTGCCGTTTGCCTTGCGTTGCGCAGGAGCATGCAGAGCAATGGTCGCTCGGCAAGGGAGTTCGGAGTACAACCCCCTATGCTCCCAAGCCCCCCCAAAGCTGAGGCTTTGCCCTCGTGGAGGAGTTGGCCAAATCGTGTCATACGGCATCTTGTCCCGTTTTTAGATTCGTCTGTTTGGGGTTTGGGATGTCTGATGGTCGCCTGACAGATTGCCTGTCCAGACTCGTCTTCCTAGGATCCTGAAGAGGTTCTTGAAGCCGCACGGATGCCTGGCAAGCAAAGATTCCAGAGTCTCAGCCGCACTTAGTGGGCCCCATGCTGGGAACAATCCCAGCAGGATATTGATATTAGAGTAACCTGGAGCAATGTGGCAATGCATGGCAATGCATGGCTATGTAAGCAGAGCAGCGATCCACGTCCGTTCAGACGGAGGATTCTGTCACCACCATGCCTGAGGACGTTCAATGACGGCTCCAGACTCTGGATCCGAGCTACGCACGGCCACAGCCTGAAGAGCGTGGACGCGAACGAGGGAGGCTTGTACACAGAAACTCGGATTGAGTCATTGAGTTGGAGTCAACAACTTCAGTCCGTCGTGTTGCTTGATCGTGGTACAACGGCGCTGTCACGAGCAACCGCTGCGGGATGAGGAAATTAAAAATGCTCTGCCGCTGTTGGTGCATGCAGTGGCTGGCCACTTGGGTGCACCCTACTTGAGGCCTTCAAGAGAATTCGCAATGGTGAAGAACCGCATGTGGAGAAGTTCAGGGACAGGAGACAAGCCCTTGCATCAGCAAAGCCTCCAACGAAGCATTCTCTCGATGCTGTACAGTGCTATACAGTGCATCTCCTAGACTTCTGAGTATCTGTCGCAATAGCCGTTGTGCGTTGGTTGAACTCTGCCATTGGTGGCCGCGCTCCGAGGCGATTCCTTGCCGATCATTCTAGCGAATGGGATCAGCCGCAATGGTAAGCCACACATGCTGTAACTCGCCCGCAACAGATTCTCACGATGATGCCCTTAGACTCTCGAATGCTGATCCTGCATCTTGTATTGAGACCTTCATCCTGTCCACTTTTGAAGGTTCGCAGACTCCGATGAAGAGTCGGTGCTGAGCCTTGGCTTTCAGGACGGGCGGTCCAGGGATCAAGGCTGCCATGCTAAAGTGATCCGACACAGTCAGACATCCCTGCAAGGACTCATGCAACATTCTTGTGTATATCAATATGGCAAAGGCGGAAACATGATCTGCTTCTGTGCTTCCGCCCTTACAAAGTGGTTTGGGTAGGTGCTTCTCTGGAGGCCCTCATAAACCCGTCAGAGCCGGTAAGAAGAGTTCAACCCGGGGTTCTCCAAGCCCTGTACAACCCTTGAACCATCAAAGAAGGCGAAGCTCGAAGCCCGGTTGTCATATTCCACGACCCCGTCCTGAACAGGCCATATTCGCAGGCATTCCGTTCAGCCGTGCTCCAGATGGCATGGTGGTCTCTCCAGGAATCACAGAGAAGCGGCGAAGGAAAACAGAGAAGGCTGGGTTCTGTGCTGCTTATGCCTGTGCCTTTGGCATCCGGATGCCTTCAGCCATTCAATTTACACACACACACAGAACTTCCTTTCTGTACAGATCGCTGTGAAGAGTGGCACACATCCGCAGATTGGTACCATTCCGGCGGACTTCATCCTCCGTGTCGCCAATCGATATGGTGCAAGCCGGGAAGAGGTCTGGTTGCCTGGCCGAGGCGCGCTCCAAGGGCTTAGGGTGCAGGGCCAGTGTATCGTTTAGGGTCTAGGATCCGCGTAGGTGCCGCGCGTCTTGTCTCGAACCAGAAAATGGTGAACTGAGCAGTGTTCCACAGTTCTGAGTGCTGCGGTAAGCATATGGATACGACGCCGTATGTGGACATGAGTTTACAGCTGCCACTCGGCTAGGCCCCAGGCCCTAGGCCCTAGGCCCTAGATCTGATGAAGCAGTTCCTTTTTTTAATTGACTGACCCATGGGCTGACGAAAGTGTTGGATGCTGCGCTGTCGGCCAGGGAAGGGAAGAGGCAAAAGTGGCCAAGGCGGAACCAAGCAGCAAGCGCTGCCTCTGAACCTCGGACAGAGAATCTTGTGGACGTGCACGGCGGTGACTGCGGAGAAGTTCGTCGCTTGCGGTGTAACCTGCTGAGCGCTGAGGACCGGCATGCCAAGCATAATTGCCGAGACGCTTGCGACTTGTGCTGAAATGAGCAGGGCTGACATCGGCCAATGCATACGTGTTTGATTCTGGCTGTTGACTTTATATGTACATATTGTTCTTTATAATATATACATATATGTATATGTATATCTAAATAAATAAAGAAGAAAGAAATAAAATATACATATATATATATATATACAAACCAAAGTTTCAGCTTCAGGGACATGTTGAACCACCAGGGGCATGAGATCCCAGGATGGCGATCCGGACATCATGCACGGAGCCCAGAGCTTCCGGGGTTGATGATGGACGTGGGTTCGAAATCTGCCTCAAGCTCCTGAATCTCCCAGACCGGGCTTAGGGTTTAGGGCACACCTGGGTGTGGGTCTGGGAGTCGGTTGCCAAAGAAGGCTTCAGCCGATGCCAGCCACCGCCAAGGCTCGCAGCATGCTCGTTCAGACCCTAAACCCTAAACCCTAAACCCCAAACCCTAAACCCCAAACCCCAAACCCTAAACCCTAAACCCTAAACCCCAAACCCCAAACCCTAAACCCTAAACCCTACATGGGCAGGACGTGCAGCAGATCGAGGCGCAGCTCCAAGAAGAGCAGCAGCGAGCGCAGCACCAGCAGCAACAGGAGGAGATGCGGCAGCGGCAGTACATGCTTCAGGACGGGGTCCGGTTTAGGGTTTAGGGTTTAGGGTTTAAGGGTTAAGGGTTAAGGGTTTAGGGTTTAGGGGTTAAGGGTTCAAGGGTTTAGGGTTTAGGGTTTAGGGTTTAGGGTTTGGGGGGGCCTAGGGGGATTTAGGGGGTTTCAGGGGGGTTTCGGGGGGTTTAGTCACGTCCCTCAGCTCTGCATACAGACACACTGCCCCTGACAAAGTCGCACTTGCGCAAGAATCCTGGCCCCAAGCTGAAGTGGCAGGCCCAGATACAGCAAATTCAGCAGCAGCAGCACCAAATGCAGCAGCAGGCACTCCGGCTTTCTCTTGTATTCTGGGAAGCGGTTCGGTGGAAGGGGCGTCAAGATTTCTTCCCCAGAAATCCCACAAGCAGTCCCAGTGGAGGGATCTTCCGCACCGAGCTTTCGGAACTCTGCGAGTTCTGATGGAGTTCGGATGGAGTTCTGCGTAGTAGTAGAGTAGGTAACCTTTACCCTTTTTGGCGCATTCTAATCCCTACAAAATCCCAATGGTTAACCTTTAGTTCCCCCAGGTTACTGGACAACTAAGTCTGAGAGGTTCGCATGGCCCAGCTCCTGGAGCTGAACCAGCTCCGACTGCAGCAAAGCCAGCTGCAACAGGCACAGGGGCAGGGTTGAGGGTTTAGGGTTTAGGGTTTATCTGTGCTCCGCTGAGCCGTGCATCTTGCAGAGTGTGCAGAGCGTGCTTTCGAAATCCCCAGGCGCAGCAGCAGATGCTCTTGCAGCAACAGCAGCAGCAACAGCAGCAGCAAGCGATGCAAAGGACTTGCTGACTGAATGCATTTGCATCCTGAAGCCCTCTAGATTCCCAGGGTGCTTGCCTGCCCTCCCTAAACTTGTCACGCTTGCACGAGGAACACACCCATGGCAGCAAACATGGATCAAAACCAGAGCCGGCTGGCGATGCTGCAGGAGGACAGGGAAGTGCGTCAGAGCGTTGGGTGGGGCTTAGACGATGCGATTCGCTGCCACAACGCTCCAAGGCTGCGCAGGAGGTTCATCATCTCACGCGCCAGCTAGAGGAAGCAACCGCCGCCCGGCATCGTTAGCACGGATGTTTTGAGCACTGGTTGTGCATCGAGTGCATGCCGCCGACCCCGCTAGCCTCAGATACTATAGCTGGGTGGGCCATTCGGGTGTTGTAAGATTGTCTTGCAATTTTGCTCTCAAACACAAACACAAGCACAAACACAGACACAGACACCAACACCAACACAAGCACAAACACTAGCACAAACACCCACACCCACAACCTCACACCCACACCCCCACCACCCACCCCCACATCGACAAAAGCAAGCACACACACACACACACACACACCCACCCGCCCACCCACCCGCCCACCCACCTGCCCACGCACCCCCACACAAGCACATGCGCACAAGCACACAAGCACACACGCGCATGCGCGCGACGGGCACGGGTACGCCGCACGCGCATTCGCACAGGCACACGCGCGCGCGCTCACGCACACGCACACGCACACGCACACGCACACGCACACGCACACGCACACGCACACGCACACGCACACGCACACGCAACGCACATGCACACGCACACGCACACGCACACGCACAACGCACACGCACACGCACACGCACACGCACACGCACACGCACACGCACACGCACACGCACACGCACACGCACACGCACACGCACACCAGAGCACACGCACACCAGCACACGCGCACACGCGCACACGCGCACACGCGCACACCCGCACACGCGCACACCCCCACACACACCCGCACGCACACACACACACACACATTCACACACACACACATTCACACACACATTCACACACACACACACACACACACACACATTCACACACACACACACACATTCACACACATTCACACACACATTCACACACATTCACACACATTCACACACATTCACACACATTCACACACACTCACACACATTCACACACATTCACACACATTCACACACATTCACACACATTCACACACATTCACACACATTCACACACATTCACACACATTCACACACATTCACACACATTCACACACATTCACACACATTCACACACATTCACACACATTCGCACACATTCACACACATTCACACACATTCACACACATTCACACACATTCACACACATTCACACACATTCACACACATTCACACACATTCACACATATAGTCACATATAGTCACACATATTCACACATGTATTCACACTTATAGTCACACATATAGTCACACAGTTTTCACACATATTCACACATTCACACATATTCACACATTCACCACACATATTCACACATTCACACATTCACACATTCACACATTCACACATTCACACATTCACACATTCTCACACATTTTCACACATTTTCACACATTTTCACACATTCACACACATTCACACACATTCACATTCACATTCACATTCACATTCGCATTCACATTCACATTCACATTCACATTCACATTCACATTCACATTCACATTCACATTCACATTCACATTCACATTCCACCCACCCACCCGGTCGAGCGACCGCCCGGCCGCCCGACCTCTCGCCCACGCACGCACGTGCTGACAATGTTCGGGTGGTGACGGCGTAGACAGGCGAAGGCAGTCGAACAATGTAGTTCACTGTACGAGTTGTCTGGTTCAATATCACTAAACGGAACATCTAGATCGCTCCATTCCGGAAGCTCTTAAGACTTGAAGACTCAGGCCGTCCTGTCGTCGACCCGAGGCCCAGAGCTGCATGCACTTCATAGGGTTTAGGCTCCTCCACTTCAACCCCCTGATTCTCTCTGTTATTCAGAGCTTGCTTGCTTGGGGTGTTTGTGTTCCTGGTACCGGAGACAGTGCATGGTGGAGACATATTCAGAGCTGTTGCCAGGGGGCATGTCCGACCCCGCAGCGCTGCCCTCGGAAAAGCTTAGGGTGGGCCTCTGGGTCATCTGCCCCGCACAGGCTCAGTATAACACCTGCGCCCATGGCATCTGTCAGAGTATGCGATCTGTTTGGTGCATTGTTACACTCGCCTTGCCTTGCCAATAAGGCAGTGTGTGGCCCGCAAGCTTTCGCAGGGCCCACAGATGGGGTTTGCAGATCCAGTGCAGAGCTTTGGGGACCAGCGATGCTGATGCGAGGTGTGAGTCGTTCTGCCGGCAGTAAGCCGAGTGTCGCCGTATCGCGGATTCCCCAGGAGCCAGCTCAGATCCCGGCGATGCACATGAGCCAGATGGGTGGCATGGATGCCGGCTCGCGTCTCTTGCAAAGAAGCCCCGCTTTGAATAGGGTTTAGGGTTTAGGGGTTTCAGGTGTTTCAGGTGTTTGAGGTGTTTCAGGTGTTTCAGGTGTTCAATGTTGTTGAGCTGGTTTGCACAGTGACTCGTTAGTTCTCTGGACGTGCCGGTCCCTGCAGCATTACGCGTGTCGATTGACGCTTCAGGTTCCTCCCCGCAGGTGTACCAGCAGCCAGCTCTGCAAGTTCCAATGCAGCAGCAGGCCAGAAGCCTCTCTTTCTCTTTTTTCTCTCCTTCTCTCCTTCTCTCCTTCTCTCCTTCTCTCCTTCTCTCCTTCTCTCCTTCTCTCCTTCTCTCCTTCTCTCTTTCTCTCTTTCTCTCTTTCTCTCTTTCTCTCTTTCTCTCTTTCTCTCTCTCAACTAGTAATTAGTATCATTGTTATAAGAAAGCCTCGCATGTCGGACTTCTGAAAAGCTGGTGCGCCCCTTTGCAGTTTGATCAGTCTCGGATGCGCCGAGCGTTTGAAAGGCCCATCTCTGGCAGCACCCTTCCATGCGCCTGGTTGGTGGCCTGGTTCTCAGCGGAGTCTCTTATACGGGAGTTTCTGAAGTTAGGGGTACCTTATTTGGGGGTCCTGATCATCAGGGGATCCGACTATTTGGGGGGTCTATATCAGGGGCCCCTTATTGTCGTGAGCCCCCCATATCATGCTGTATCAGGAATCCTGTAGTGAAAGGGAGGACACCTTCAGTTCAATTCCCCCCAAAAGTCGGGTGAATATTCAATATCCAGGTCCCACACTTTGAGCCGACACCCAACGACTAGCAAACCAGCTCACGGCTTAGAACATCAGGGATCCTCCAGCCCAACCCAAAACCCGAAACCCGAAACCCAAAACCCTAAACCCCAAACCCTAAGCCCTAAGCCCTAAGCCCTAAGCCCTAAGCCCCCAGCCCATGGAGGTGATGCTCTCACATCTCCCGAGGCCATGGACGCTGCGTTGTGTGGTGGGCATCGGGGCAATTTCTATGGTTTCTTTCAGGTCGAGGGTCTGGCAGCCGTGATGCAGAAGGCGTAGAACGGGGTCGGATCCTTGTAGTTGTAACCCTAAACCCAAAACCCTAAACCCTGAACCCTAAACCCTTATCTGCCTCTGGAGCTGGAAGGTGTTGTGGCACAAGCCCCTGCCGCACAGCCGCAGTCAGTTCAACAGCTGCAGGATCATGGGCCCCCAGGGTTATCATGGTAGCCCCCCACACTCTACGGGGGTTTACGAAAAATAGGGGACCCCTAAAAGGGACCCCCAAAATAGTAAGATTCCCTTAGAAGAAGGACCCCAATAAGGTACCCCGAATTTCGTAAACTCCCCCGCAAATCCGACAAGAAGAGCCGCGACCGAGGCAGTAGGATGCCTGCCGTGGTTGCGGCTGCGTGGTGGATAGATTGCTGGGGCTGGTCCCGCGCCACGTTCACTCATGCAGCTTTCTCAAGGGCCCATCTGCCCACGAATTCATGTAGCTTCTGAGAACCGGAACTGGTGTCTCCTGGAGTGTCAGTGGCGATGCCGTGAGCTCAGTGTGAAAAAGGTAATATAGGTTTAGGCTATGAAGTACCCTACAGCATGCGGCGTGCCTGACTGCTCATTCCCGCAAACATTTGAACGCTTAGAGGCTCTCCATTTTGCTTGATTAGTGATTAGTGGTGGGTGCAGTAGGTGCTCAGGTCGTGGTCTTTTTTTGCAGTGGTTCGAATGGATTACAGCGGTAATGGAAGCAATGCGCTAGCTGCGCCGTGGCAGTGTTAGTGAACATCGGGCACTATAGTAGCAGCTCAGCAGCCGCAGAACGCTGCAACTCAGATCGGAAGCCTTCCTGCGGAGCCCTCCCTTCTCAACCGGCGCTTTTTAGAACCAGCCGCAAAGTCGGAAAAGCGGCTTGAGAACTTTGGACACATGGTTCTCGTCAAAGCCAGGGTTCCCATTTTCACAAGGATTGAATTCGAACAGCACATAGAAGCGTATTGTACAAGTGTGTACATAAATAAATAAATAAATATATATATATATATATACACATAGACATACAGAAGTATGTAGTCCATACCATGTGAGACATAAGATGGGACCCCCCAGCTTTGAAAGTCCTACCATGTCCAGCGGCATCCGGTGTGAGGTTCCCCCTCCTTCAGGCGCAAAGATTCCGTGGGGGGGATCCTGAACTCACATCATCCAGGACCTCACGAAGCCTAAACCCCCCAAACCCTGAAAACCCTAGGTTTGCGGGCAAAAAACACCCTTTAAAGCCTTTGAACACCATGACTAGGTGGGTGGCAAAACAATTGCTACGATTCAACCCAGGTACTGTCACATAATTCTTCTGACTGTTTGGAAGGGCGTTTAGAGTTTAGAGCGCCAAGCAAAGATAGGAGGCGCGAGAAGTGCGTTGCCACTTTGCAGTAGGAGAAAACAAGCCTGCCTGGGAAGTGCGGCGCGGTAGTTGTGTCGGCAGAAGTTCACTTGCAGGTCACTGAAGACTTGAACATATCTGAAAATCACAGCTCCGGGTGCTCATGTCGGCCGAAGACTTTACGCCTAACTCTGTTTCATGTCGTTGGCCCATTTGGCGGCGTTTTCCAGGCCGGCGTTGTTTTGATCTGGCCTTTGAACTAGGCCGGAGCTGCCCTACTGACAAATCTTGCATTGTCGAGGCATGCCAAGCTTCACCATGTGGCGCACTTACTGAGGGTTTTTGCTTACTGCCGTGCTTTTGATAAGGAGGCGTAGCGGACGCATAGGGGCGGTTTCATGCCCCTGCGCCTGAGCAAAGACGCTAGCTGCTTGCGTCATGTCGCTGTTTGGTTGTAAGGTCATTGGAACGACACTTGGGCAATGGGTGCTGCTGCTTGGCTCCGGCTCGATTTAGGGAGTGTTGTATAGCAGGCCTTGGGGGTGCTCGCGCTCTCTCTCTCTCTCTCTCTGTCTCTCTCTCTCTCTCTCTTCTTTCAGCCTGGTTGTGCGAAGAAGAGTAAGAGCAACGTCGCAAGGATATGCTTCATCTTCCTTGTCCTCCAGTTCATTGGCACAGCTCGCAACTGAGTGAACACCGCGTCTGACACGGTGACCGAATGAAATCGACTGGTCTTGCCATGCTGTGAGATAGCCTGAAGGCTTTAAGTTTACTTTATGCCATTCAACTACAGACTATTTGTTCATGACGAGTGCTGTCGGTCTTCGTACATGCTGCATGACAATGCCTCTTCCGCTACACAGTCAAGCGCCGACAATGCCGAGGTGGTGTGCAGGCTCACAGGGGAGAACACTTGGAATGATAGCTTCTGGAGTTGCCACTGGACTGAAAGGGTCCATGCGCCTGTGCCTGCTTCTGCTAGACATGTACACATGCCTGGCTCATGCCATGAATGGAGGGTTGCTAGGCGAGACACCTCTGTCTCATTCTGGAGTCTAGGTTACACGCTGCTCATCGACATCGGCACGCAAACCGGGCTTCCGGCCAATGCTACCCCGACTGATAAGTTGGTTTCAGTCGTCCGGATCTCAGCTGAAGGCTTGTTTTGGCCTTGGTTTTCGCTAAGTCTGGCTACGTCTGACAAGCGTCGCAGTGCTCAGGTCATCTCCTTGGAAGCTTGGCTGCATGCTGGCGAACCCTTTCATCGTAGGGAAGAAACTCGCGGATGTCAGACGGGCGGGGAGGTGGGCTTCGTCTACTGCCTCACGTTGCTGGGCATGGTGGTGGACCTCATCCGAGAGGTACTGGATGACACGTGGCTGGTCAAAGCACGGCTCCGCTGTTGAGGTGTGGTAGCGAAATTCAGATCTTTGGTCACCTGATTCCCCGCGCAGTTCTGATCATGTGGCAATAGTAGTCCTTGAGGTGGCAGCGCTGACATTGGGATTTTGTGTGGCTTCATGCCTCGTTTTCATTGTTGCCGGAACATGAGCTTAAGGACTGCCGCACCAGATTCAGCAGCGTTCCTGCGAAAGACCACTGGCTTATCCTGGGATGGGGTGACAAAACGTTGCTCCTAGTGGATGAGTTGCTACATGGCGGCATCGATGGAATGGTGCTTAGCCACTTAAGGTCTTGAGGGCTGTTGTTGAGAGAAGGCGACAGGGCTCAAGGCTGAATCTTCAGAGTGTCCATGTGGCACATTCTTCGTACGACTTAAATGTTGAGCATGTGGAAGTTCAAGCTCAAATTGGAGGCTTTCAGGTTCTATCATTCTTCCCAGCCCGTGCTGTGCACCTCGAGTCACTCTGCGAGGCTTTCTGCGATCACTGACGACAAGAAGGGCTGTTGCGGCTGTTGTCGGAGGTTTTGTGGCATTTTATGGCATTGAGCAGGTGTGCGGGTGTGGCAGAAGTTGCCTGGTCACATAGACCTAGCCGTCGCAGACAGGGGAGGTATGCCGGGCGTCTTACCGGCACAGACCTGAACTCAAGCCCATTACAAGAAATCGAGAGGATGGGAACGAGTAGCATCCCAGGCGACAGATAGTCATTCTGGCAGACCTGCCGGAGCAGCACATGGCTGAGGAGGCGCATCGATCTCCATCGATCTCCCAAATCCAACGAATGGTTAGTCCTGCTTTGGCTGTGTGAAATCAGGATTGCTGCACGAAGCATTTTTGTCCGGAGTGCCTCGTAACTGAGGGTTCAGCCTTGCCATGTGTGAGGGCAAGCCATGCGATTCTGTTTTGCATATGTATGTTCTAACTGCTCGCCCTGTTATCATCGTGCGGGCAGGGCTCTTTCTTCGATGGGTGTCATTCAGAGAGCGCGGTTCTTGCGTGCAGGTCCAGATGCACTGCAGGACGGGCCAATCACGTCACAGCGTGTCCAACTTCTTCTTTCCTTTGATTCGTGCCTCTGCGGACATACACCTCCAAAATGAGAGATGATAGCAGGAGCTTTACCGCACAAGTTGGTGGAACCTACGTCTTGACAGACCCGACCGCATGGCGCACCTAAGGATACAAGGAAGGCAACCCCACCGACGTAACAGAGCTGTTGAAAGTCAGCGCGCCATATGCGAACGAGATCCTTGTTGCCAGCACGCCGCTTGGATATAACATGGGATGCATGTTCCCCCTTATACTAACGGTCCTGGAGATGGATCGGGGGTACTTTCATCCCGATTTAGGACTGTTTGTATAAGGGGGAACATCCCAACATAAGTTCTCTGTTTCCGTGCTCCTCAGTCACGATGTGAGGTCGAGCAATCCTTCCCGCTCAGATGTGAAGGCTATCTCCACCTTGTGTTCCAGCTGCAGTAAGGCTTGTAAGGCCCTCTCTGGCTTCGATCTTGGCCCTTTTTTTCTCTTCCTACCAGCGTGAACAGAAACGACATTGCAAGAAAACAAGAACCAACAGCAACAAATAAATACGCACATGTATATACATATTTATGCATATGTGTATTTATGCATAAATATATGTAGATAATTACTTTTTCAGTTATTATCTTTATATTCCATTATATTATATGATATTATATGATACGATATGATATGCTATTATAATATAAGATAAGATAAGATAATATAATATAATATATATATATATTATGATATGATATGATATTATATGATATTATATGATATTATATTTTATTGACCATTGTATTATATTATAATTTCTATATATACGTATACATATGTGTACATGGCCCAGGTTGGCTGTTGCCGCCATGCCTTCAGACTCGCCTGTCACGGGCGACGTTTCCGTAGCTCCTTGCCGGCACCCAGAAACCCCGGTCAAGTGTCGTGCTCTTGAGTTGGCCCTAAGTGGGCAGCGCGTAGCAGCGCTGCGAACTCCCAATGCCGGTGCTCTGGCCTCGTGAGGAGATGTGCGACCCCAACAACGTGAGAGTCGTTCAGACAATCCTCAAGCAAGCGCGCGGAATTGCTCCTTGGAATTCGAAGTCGGGAAGGTCCCGGCTGGGTCGGTCTAATACTCCTCACCCCCGAATGTTAAGTCCCTTGTGGCCGTTAATTTTCCAGTCGCAAGACTTCAAGCGGACCGCCGGATGCTTATTCTTTAGGGGTGGGAGGCGTTTGTCAAGTACGTCATTAGCGGGAGGGGATTCGTAGGGTTTAGGGCACCCTCCCCCACTGATCTTTGACCCTGATCCCTTCATCTTAGACCCTGGGCAAAGACAGGGCTGGACCCCCCTAAACCCGAACAAGTCTCAACCCCCCAAACCCTCAAGAGCGCGGTTGGAAACAACATTCTGAGCTCAGAGAGGGCTCTTTTGAGCAAAATGTGTTCCAGCTGAGGTCGCGCGGCAGCTCGTGAGGAGGATGCTGGTTCCTGCATCTGCAGATAGTGTCTCTAAGGGGAAGGAATGGAAGCATGTTCCCTCTTCCCCCTCGATGGTCAAGGATTGTCGCCGAATATTTTGTGGTCTGGTGAACACACGTTTCTGTTCCAGTGTCCCATGAGGTTTTGAGATCCCTTGTGCCTTCAGTGGGATATGTGCACCTTGCCTGCAAGAGGGTCCGAACAGAGAGTACCGTCAGTAGCGACAGAACAGCTGTGATGTGAGGTACTTGGCGCTGACTTCCTTTAAGGGTGATGCCAATCTCCTGTTTGTCCCAGTTCCGGCCACGGTTCTTGGCGTGCGCTTTCAAGCTGCTCGACTCACAATTGTAGCGTTTAGAAGGGTCAGCCCCAATCTCGGAACAACGATTCTTTTTGCTATTTGGGGAGACAGAGGCAGGGACTGGGAAATTTTCGGTCATATTCAGGGAGAGCACGGCAACAGAACTAGGCCTGCGTGACTGGCACTTTAGTACGTAAAAGCTCAATTGGGCAAGCCTTCTACTGGTTACGGGTTTACAAAGGCCGGCAATCGGATTTTCAGGTTGTTGGGGTTTCAGCATGAGCGTAGGGAGTTCAGTTGAATGTGTTGGCAACCCAAACGAAATGGCAGGATGTTGGAAGATACTTCCCAGATGCTGTGATCTGCAGCACGGTCGCAGAAGAGAGCACAAACACTTGGCTCCCTGAACCCGAAGCCCTAAGCCCTAAGCCCTAAACCTTATAAACCCTAAACCCTAAACCCACGTCAGCTGCGCGCAGTGCGGGCAGCAAACGCAGCCCACAGAAGCTGCAGCATCTTGTCATCAGAGGTGGCTTGAGGAGCGCAGATCTGCCGGAGGGGCGCATTATCCCCGCCCCCAGCTATTGCTTGAAGGACTGCGGACTTTGTGTTTCGGGTTTAGGGTGGTAGTGAGGGAGGGGGGGAGGGAGCTGTGCCCGGGCTACCTGCAAGGGGGGCCTCTTCGAGGTTCAGAAGAAGAGGGAGAGGGGGGGCGGGTTGTCGGGGCTTGCATGCTGGCCATGTCAAAAAGGGACACTGATTTAGAGAACTACCCCACAAAGCTGCGAGAAGTGTCACTCGGTTTGATGCTTTGTGCAGTCCACAGACACCCTCATCGCTCTTGCCAAAGATGCGGCGGCTGGCAGGTGGGATCATCCCAATGTGAGTAGTTCTCAAAAATGGGGTCCTTTTCAAGTCTTTAGCATCAGCAGACCACAGCATAACTAGCATAGCTGGTGCCCAGTGCAAAGGGCTTTGTGCGAGCCTCAAAGATCCAACACGTTGCATCAAGACCCAACCTGCCGCATGCCTCACGCATTCCATGCTTAGTTTGCGTCCACAAGAAGCCGGCTCCGGGTAATGGCCTTGAGCACAAACGTTGTGCCCGCCAGGCGTTGCGTGCCGCTTGCAAGGAATGACTGTGTCTCCGATGCGGTTTCGCCAGGTTCCTGTCACTGGGCAGCCTTTTTCTAATGTGTGCTTTTTCAAGCTAGATGTGAATATGTGGGGAGGGAACTTATGGGAACGATTGGGGGTGCGTGGTAGACTTGCTGCGGCAATCTGTGTCGGGACACCCAGGTGCTGCAGATGTGGTACCGGCCTGAGAACACAGGCGAAGTTTGCAAATTCGTCTTCGTTACATGTACTTAAAAAAACTTGGAGAAGTTGCAAAAAAAATTGGTTGGCTTTTGAGTTTGTGCTGCCTAGATCCGTGAAGATGGACAGATCTGCTTGGCAGCCTCTGCTGGCGGCCCAAAAGTGGTCTTGCTGCCTCTCGGCCGAGCTGCCTACTTGTTGCGCGAACGCCTTGGCCAATCTTTCGAACGCGGCATGGGGCAGTAGATTCCTGGTAGATGCCATCGACAAAGCAAAACCTACAGCGCTACAAAGATCACAAAATCACAAAAAGAACTCTGATGAGAGCCAGAAATGAGTCTTCCATGCCCCTTTGCGGCTGAAGTGGGGAAGCCTTGTTCGCCGTTGTATGGCCCTAGGACAGACAGCCCAGGATTCCCAAGGCACAGTCGCTTAGGGCCAAGAACTTTGCAATCCAAACCGCCAGCTCACCTCAGCTGTGCTCGGCCATATCTTTTACGCGGTGAGTGTGACACTCCAAGAGCACGCGAAGCCAGCAAGGTTTGGATGCCCGGCAGACTTTGTAGATATCCTGGACATCATCGTGCCCAGCCTGAGAATGCAGTGTGTCACTGGAAGTGTCAGTGCGTGTGTGTGTGTGTGTGTGTGTGTGTGTGTGTGTGTGTGTGTGTGTGTGTGTGTGTGTGTGTGTGTGTGTGTGTGTGTGTGTGTGTGTGGAACAGGAAGAGGCAGAGAGAGCGAGAGATGATCGCGACTGCTTGGAGCTGCCATCTCAGGATTCCTACTTGGCACCAGGCAGTACCGTTCACATTCTGTCAAGGACGCCCGCTTTCCACCCATTCTTGGCTGAAAGGGTTCCATTGATGCTGTGACACCTACGACACCTTCGCAATCTCCTTGACACTGCATGTCAGGAAGCCCAAGGAAGTCCGCCAGTCGATCATTGAGCAGCATCTGCTTCTTGGTTAGATGGCAGATGAGTGTTATGAATGGCAGCCCAGTCTCTGCTTTGTTCTGCATCTGGGACAGTTTCAGGTGGGAAGTTTCCCGCTTTACAGACTGTTAAGAGGCTTATCGTATATAAACAGCAGCTGCCCACCTGCACCGACAGACGAATAAGAATCATTGTTGTGTGTGTGTGTGTGTGTGTGTGTGTGTGTGCGGACCTCTACTGGGCCCACGCCAGCTGTACCAATGTCTGGACTGCGGGTTAATTCTCGCCCGCTTGTAGGTCTCGGAATCTTCATACGTTTTTTCACCGTCATCTGGCACGCACGTTGATGCAAAAGACCAGACAATGAGCAGAGAGACAACTGATCGAAGCTGTTCTAACTGCGTGGCCGGATGGAATTGGCTAACCAAGGAGGCTGTCTGGCCGCACGCAGTTTGCCCGAATCTCTGTCGAGCAGACGCTGTGTCAGCAAGAAGCGAGGCAGGGAGGTAGAAGCATCGTCAGTAACCAGCGGTAGTAGGATCAGCGCGAGGGGGGAGGAAAGGAGGAGGAAGAGGAGGCAGGTTCATAAGGGCAAGTCGATGAGTTGGTGTGGCTCGTCAGCGACTGTCATTCTTGACTGCATGCACCCAGGCACGAAGGCGAAAGCACCAGCAAGTGGGAGATGCAGAAGCTCCCGCACCTTGGAACCGTTTCGACAAAGAGTTCCAGTGAGGTGCGAGACAAGGGTTCGGGCCTCTCGACTCCTCGGCCTCGGATCGCTGTGCTCGACATATTTCAGGATCCATGCAACCAAAATTTGAGAGATTTGTGGCCTCCAGGCTACCCTCGATTTCCCAATCTTGTAGTATTGGCTTTCGCATGACCAGCAGGCCGAGGTGTGCTCGTGTCTTCACAGCAATGATATGGGAGTTTACGAAATAAGGGACCCCTAAACAGACCCCTCAAATAGTAAGATTCCCTGATTACAAGGACCCCAATAAGGTACCCCTAAATTCTTAAACCCCCCATATCCGAAACTGCTCTTTGCCTGTCCCCTAGCTGCAGCAGAGGCTCGACACGGCGAGCTGCGCGCTGATCCTTGCGGAACGGCTGACGGACGGGTACCGGAATAGTTGATATCCTCCTCGGTTTAGGGTTTAGGGTTTAGGGTTTAGGGCTTAGGGCTTAGGGCTTAGGGTTACTAGGGTTTAGTGTTATGCAAGTAGCAGGTTGGAGTCGCTTCTGGCCGTGGGTTAGGCGTCCGTCAAGAAGCAGCCTCAGTGGGAACTGATCTTGCTTACCCTGAACCCTAAATCTGGAACTTTGGGACTCCGAACTGTTCAGAACCCCTCCCAAACGATGGGTCCAGGAAGCTCGTGGACGATAGGGCTCTATAGGCTCGATGTGTTCTTTTTGAGGAGTTCCTTGATTTTTCCTGACACCTCCCATGCCCCCCCCGCCACCAGTGGCAGGGTCGCAGAATACTTTCCGGGAAGCTCGCAATCTGCACAATTGCAACAGATCAGGTGGTAAGAACAAAGGACTGAACAAACTTGCCCTCATCCCTAACAACCCCCCCCCCTCCCCCCCTCCCCTACCCCCCCCCCCTCCCCCCCCCCCTTCCCCCCCCCACTCCCCCCCCCCCCCCCCGCCCCCCCCCCCCTCCCCCCTCCCCCCCCCCTCCCCCCCCCTCCCCTCCCCTCCCCCCCCCCCCTCCCCCCCCCTCCCCCCTCCCCCCCCCCTCCCCCCCTCCCCCCCTCCCCCCCCCCCTCCCCCCCCCCCCCCCGCCCATCCCCCCCCCCCTCTCCCCCCCCCCTCCCCCCCCCTCTCCCCCCCCCTCCCCCCCCCCTCCCCCCCCCCTCCCCCCCCCCCTCCCCCCCCCCTCCCCCTCCCCCCCCCTCCCCCCCCCCTCCCCCCTCCCCCCCCCCTCCCCCCCCCCTCCCCCCCCCCCTCCCCCCCCCTCCCCCCCCCCTCCCCCCCCCTCCCCCCCCCCCCCCCCGCCCCCCCCCTTAAAAAACTAGAAGAGGGATGGCCCGAAAGCATCGATTTGCCGTGCGTTGACTCCATGCAGTTGACTCTTTGCAGCCAAAGTGTATGCGCTTGGACAAATGTATGCACTTACATAGTTGCATAGTCACTTGTACACTGCACTTGTCTGATTTGCGATGGTTTTGGAACCAGCGAATTCGGGGACCATGGTATACTTGCGATGCTTTTGGAACCAGCGAATTCGGGGACCATGGTTTTCGCGATCATGGTTTTTGCGATGGTTTTGGAAACAGCGATTTCGGGGACCATGGTATGTGCGATGCTTTTGGAAAAAGCGAATTCGGGGACCATGGTATTTGCGATGGTTTTGGAACCAGCGAATTCGGGGACCATGGATTTGCGATGGTTTTGGAAGCAGAGAATTCGGGGACCATGGTTTTCGCGATGGTTTTTGGAACCAGCGAATTCGGGAGGTTTTCGAGGCCCCGGAAGTCGAGTCCCATGATATTTGCGAGGTTTTCGAGGAATTCGAGTCCCACGATATTTGCGCGGTTTTCGAGGCCCCGAATTTCGAGTCCCGCGACAATTGCAAGGGTTTCGATGAATTTGAGTCCCGCGATATTTGCGATGGTTTATTTGCGATGGTTTCGACACGCAAGCTCCGGGTGTCCGCGGCGGGAATGCTATTTGCGAGGTTTTCAAGTATGTCCGGAATTCCGCTTCCATGCTACTTGCGGTGTTTTCAAGCGCCCAGATGTCCGTTACCATGCTATTTGCAGTGTTTTCAAGCGCCCAGATGTCCGTTACCATGCTATTTGCGGCGTTTTCATGCGCCCAGATGTCCGTTACCATGCTATTTGCGGTGTTTTCAAGCGGCCAGATGTCCGTTACCGTGCTATTTGCGGTGTTTTCAAGCGGCCAGATGTCCGTTACCATGCTATTTGCGGCGTTTTCATGCGCCCAGATGTCCGTTACCGTGCTATTTGCGGTGTTTTCAAGCGCCCAGATGTCCGTTACCATGCTATTTGCGGTGTTTTCAAGCGGCCAGATGTCCGTTACCATGCTATTTGCGGTGTTTTCAAGCGGCCAGATGTCCGTTACCGTGCTATTTGCGGTGTTTTCAGACGCCCAGGGCGTCCGCGGCGTACTATACGTCTGTACTACAAAAAGTCGACTTTCCAGCCACGGAAGCTCCGCGTGTGCGCGGCGTACTACGTGAGTACTACAAAAAGTCGACTTTCCAGCCACGGAAGCTCCGGGCGTCCCCGGCGTACTATACGTCTGTATTACAAAAGTCGACTTTCCAGCCACGGAAGCTCCTACGTTTGTACTACAAAAGTCGATTTTCCAGCCACGGAAACTCCGGGTGCCCCCGGCATACTATACGTCTGTACTACAAAAGTCGACTTTCCAGCTATGGAAGCTCCGCGTGTCCGCGGCGTACTACGTTTGTACTACAAAAAATCGACTTTCCCAGCCACGGAAGCTCCGGGCGTCCCCGGCGTATATACGTCTGTACTACAAAAGTCGACTTTCCACTACGTTTGTACTACAAAAGTCGACTTTCCAGCCACGGAAGCTCCGGGCGTCCCCTGCGTACTACATTTGTACTACAAAACTCGATTTTCCAGCCACGGAAGTCCCCGGCGTACTACGTCTGTACTACACAAGTCGAAAAACAAACGCAAAAAACGCAAAAAACACTACGGTTTTAGCGCCGCGACCACGCGAAAACCCGCAGAGGGGTTACGTTTGCATGACAAGAAACGCAAAAACACGAGGGTTTTGGCACCGCGCCAACGCCGAAACCCGCAGAGGGGTTACGTTTGTGTGTCAAAAAACGCAAAAACACCACGGTTTTGGCACCGCGCCAACGCCGAAACCCGCAGAGGGTTGTCTGCGGCCACGAAAAAAGTACCAAAAACGACGGTTTTAGCGCCGCGACCCGGTGATCCCCCGCAGGGGGTTGTCCGCGGACACAAAGAAACGTAAAAAAAACGACGGTTTTAGCACCGCGACCGCGGTGAAACCCGCAGAGGGTTGTCCGCGCAAATCAAGAAACGTAAAAAAACGACGGTTTTAGCACCGCGACCACGCCGAAACCCGCAGAGGGTTGTCCGCGCAAATCAAGAAACGTAAAAAAACGACGGTTTTAGCACCGCGACCACGCCGAAACCCGCAGAGGGTTGTCCGCGCAAATCAAGAAACGTAAATAAACGATGGTTTTAGCGCCGCGACCACGCCGAAACCCGCAGAGGGTTGCAATCCCGATTGGCGATGTCAACCCAGCCCGCCGCCTTAGAAAGAGTAATTTTAATTTAGTTTTAATTTAGAAATCTAGGACTGGGTACGAAGGTCTACGAAATTCTACGTAAATCTCGTAATTTCTATTAACTTCTACTTCGCTCTATGCAATTCACTCTATGCGCTTCACTCTATGCACTTCACTCTATGCAATTCACTCTATGCAATTCACTCTATGCACTTCACTCTATGTACTTCACTCTATGCACTTCACTCTATGCACTTCACTCTATGCACTTGACTCTATGCACTTGACTCTATGCACTTCACTCTATGCACTTGACTCTATGCACTTCACTCTATGCACTTGACTCTATGCACTTCACTCTATGCACTTCACTCTATGCACTTCACTCTATGCACTTCACTCTATGCGCTTCACTCTATGCTCTTCACTCCATGCACTTCACTCTATGCGCTTCACTCTATGCCCTTCGCTCTATGCACTTCGCTCTATGCACTTCACTCTATGCACTTCACTCTATGTGGTTGGGTCAGAGGGCTCCGCACGGAAGAACCCTTCGCGATGCTTTCGGGAAAAGGGCCAAAACACGATGGTTTTGGCACCGCGCCAACGCCGAAACCCGCAGAGGGTTGTCTGCGGCCACGGAAAAAAGTTCCAAAAACGACGGTTTTAGCACCGCGACCCGGCGATCACCCGCAGAGGGTTGTCCGCGGACACAAAGAAACGTAAAAAAAACGACGGTTTTGGCACCGCGACCACGCCGAAACCCGCAGAGGGTTGTCCGCGGCCACAAAGAAACGTAAAAAAACGACGGTTTTGGCACCGCGACCACGCCGAAACCCGCAGAGGGTTGTCCGCGCAAATCAAGAAACGTAAAAAAACGACGGTTTTAGCGCCGCGACCACGCCGAAACCCGCAGAGGATTGCAATCCCGATTGGCGATGTCAACCCAGCCCGCCGCCTTAGAAAGAGTAATTTTAATTTAGAAATCTAGGACTGGGTACGAAGGTCTAGTAAATTCTACGTAAATCTAGAAATTTGTATTCACTGATTACTAAACTCTATGCAATTCACTCTATGCACTTCACTCTATGCACTTCACTCTATGCACTTCACTCTATGCACTTCACTCTGTGCACTTCACTCTATGCACTTCACTCTATGCACTTCACTCTATGCACTTCACTCTATGCACTTCACTCTATGCACTTCACTCTATGCGCTTCACTCTGTGCACTTCACTCTGTGCACTTGCCTCTATGCACTTCACTCTATGCACTTTGCTCTATGCGCTTCACTCTATGCACTTCGCTCTATGCACTTCACTCTATGCACTTCGCTCTATGCACTTCACTCTATGCACTTCACTCTATGCACTTCACTCTATGCACTTCACTCTATGCACTTCAGTCTATGTTGTTGTGTCAGGGGGCTCCGCACGGAAGAACCCTTTGCGATGCTTTCGGGAAAAAGAAAAAAAACAACAGCCTGAACTTCCTAAACTCCATGCACTACCCCCTTGAATCTGGACTTACCGACTGCCTGAAAAAGTGCGCGCCTCGCGACGCCGCCCCCTCAAAGTCCCCAATCTCTAAACCCCCTCCGGCCCTAATCCCTAAACACTAAACCCTAAACCCCAAACCCCAAACCCCAAACCCCAAACCCTAAACCCAAACCCTAAACTGAACTCTAAAAGAGGAGTCGGAGTCGCCTTTGGCCGCCGACTCACGAAACCTCACGACTGTGCCTCGAAGGCAGAATGTTGGTTAGGGCTTAGGGTTTAGTTAGGGTTGAGGGTTTAGGGTTTAGGGTTTAGGGTTTAGGGTTTAGGGTTTAGCGTTTAGGGTTTAGGGGTAAAGGGTTAGGGCTACTATTTGCCGAAGAACCCCCAACAAATGAAGGACAGTCGTCCCTATGTTACCCTTTTAAGGAAGCAGGATTTTGGTTTTTTGGAGGTTCTTAAGCACATAGTCGAGGGAAGATTTCGGGCTGATAGGGCTTAGTGGGAGTGGGATGGTTTCATCTTGCTAAGAGGAGCGGCCGAAGCGGTACCTCACCCTTCCGAAATATCGCAGAAAACCCCCCTTTGCGCTGACCCCCGCCCGCCCTCCCCCCGCCCCCGCCCTCTCCCCCCGGCCAACCAACAAAAGGAGCCCGAAAACCCCTAAAACCCCTTCGTCCCTCCCGCCAACCAAACGAAGGAGCCCTAAAACCCTAAAACCCTAAAACCCTAAAACCCTAAAACCCTAAAACCCTAAAACCCTAAAACCCTAAAACCCTAAAACCCTAAAACCCTAAAACCCTAAAGCCCCTTGCGACACCCGAAGCCCAAGGCGATCATGGTAAAGCAGCAACTCCTGGACTCCAACAATGGAGGAAGCCATTGGCCACCGGAGGGCACCCTTCGAAGTGAGATGTAGGGTTTAAGAGGTTTAGGGGAATCCCTTTTCAGGACTGCTAGTATAAGGGGGGTAACATCCCAGGTTTGGTTCGATACGACAAGATCTGGGGTCCGGCTGGTGTGCACCCGTCTTGCATCCAGGAGCAATGACTCGAGTCTTCACAACACACACCCAAGACAGCTCCGCTGCTTGGCCGGACCTGTGTTCACTCCAGTGCTGCGGCTGCTTTGGCTATGATGGCTGCTTTGGCTATGCAAAGTTTAGGGTTTAGGGTTTAGGGTTTGCAAAGCAGAAGATAAGGTTCTGAAGGGCAGCCGCCACAAGTGCAAGCTCGTCACCGAGCTGCTGGACCCAAAGAGCGACGCATGGTCTTGTCAACATCTTTTTTTTGGGGGGGTGGGGGGGGCGGGTGGGGCCCTCTTACAAATCCCCTGAAGGGGCTCCCAACAAGCCCAAGAATGCAAAAGGCGCTTCCTCCAACAAGATGCGCCCCCCCCTCCGTGCTCCCTGATCCCTCTTGAGCTCAGGAAGCAGTTCTCGCCAGCAACAGCGGCGTTCGGAGCCAGGGCTCCTATGTCTACACATCCGCACGGGAGACGGCCATCTATGCAGTGGCATCAGAAAGAAGCTTCTTGGAGAATCAGGGATGCGGATAAGGCAAGATGGCCTTCAGCTTGGAACATGTCCGCCTGATCCCTAAACTAAACCCCAAACCGGGTGTGGATAGATATCTGCCGGGTGAGTTCTTGTGGTGATGAGATTCAAATCCTCGGTTCGACCAGCCATGCGGGTGTGAAAAACACACCTGAACCCCAGCTGTGTCTCCAAGCTTGCGAGGTGACGTCTACGAGCTCTTGCTGCAACTGAGCGACGCCGACTCCACCAGCGCCTTTGTCACTGCCACTGGGACTCAACGGACGCATGCAGAAGTAGGTATGCCTTGACATACACATACCAAAGCACATATATATATATCTATATATATATATATATCTATATATATATCCATATATATATATATGTATACATGTGTACAGTACATATGATCGTGCATTTTTTCAAGAAGCAAGATATTTGAAGAGTGTCCATGTTGCACGCGTGCCCAGCCTAAGGTTGCACCCACGTCCCACTACGTCACTTCGCAGCTCGTCCAAAACAGCCAAGTTGGATCGTAATATATCACTCAGGGTTTAGGGTTTAGGGTTTAGGGTTTAGGGTTTAGGGTTTAGGGTTTAGGGTTTAGGGTCCAGGATGTTGAGAGCTAGAGTTGCAGCCCCGAACACGCGAAGGCATGAGCAAACTTAGGATCGAGGATCTTTCGTTCTACGATTTGCAGCTGCGCGTTTTGGCAACTTGTGGTGGGTGGCTTGTCTCAACTCTGTGCAGCCCAGCTGGTTACGGGTTTGTCACAACAAAAGCTCTGCCCATGCTGGCTTGCAGTACGAGGATCTTGCTGGGATGGCGGGACTTTTCGGAGCGATATCCGGTGCTGAATCCGCAGCGGAAACTTGCATGACATCATGGACATGGTGTTGAGGCCGTCTGCGTGCCCAAGTCTTGGCCAGTCATTAAATGGCCTTTCGCTGAGTAGGTCCACGCTTGTGTACTGGTTTCTTGGGTCGTGAGGGCGGTGCTTGACTTGGTTTTCTGTATAGGAAAGTTGTCCATGGGTTTCGTGTGCGTGGCGGCAGATGAAGCAGATGAGATGGTTAGATGGTGGCTGGCCTCACAGCCCTTCCTCAAAATAAGGGCCTCCTCTCTGTCTTCGCCTGTTGTTCTGCCAACCCATCCTTGCCCACTCGCCCCCTCCCCCCCCTCCCCCCTCCCTTCCCCCCCGGCTCAGGAAGCATGAGGTGATGGAGTGGACCGTCCCTGCCTCAAGTCACACCTCAGTCGGCTCGGAGTGGGGGAGATGTGAGCGTCTCGTGTTCGAGGACTACACGGACACAGAGCTCATTATTCTGCGCCACTCGGAGTCGTCCTTCAAATCAGGCTGATGCCGCCTCTTTTTGCTAGCCAACTGTCATCCGAGCTATGCACCGCTTGGCGCCAAGCGCCGCTGTGTTCCGGCCAGAAAGTATATGAAGAAGCAAACTATACTCAGAGGTGCGAGCGATGCCTTACAGCTCTAAGCGTATATATGCACAAGTTATCATGCGACGTCAGCTAATGACAACTCCGGACGACAGCTACACCTTCAAAAGGTCGTGGTGGGTCACGTCCACAAACAACTCTTTCCACCATGTGCATCCTCGGCCAGAAGGCAAGCGGCAAAGCTGCTGTCTAGGCTGGTACATCTCAGGAATGCAGACAAGGAAAGCAACTCAGACGGTGTGCACAGTTTTCTTGCGGTCTTGGCAATCAAGAATCAGAGTCAGAATCGTGTTTTTGCACGTTCAGCAGGCTCAACAGGTGGGCCGTATGGCAAGCAAGTCTCAGATATGACGACGTGACGTGCACTGGAAACCCACCAAAGCATTCAAGGATAGGTGCAGGTCAACAGTGTTGGAGCCTGCCAATGTCGAGCAAAGCTCTCTTCGTGTTCCCTTCCGCGTCAGGCCTGTCAGTTTTGTTTTGGGAGCACGTTGTGTGCACATTGCTCTTGACGATGGCCCGTTCCTTGTGCTTGCTCTTCAGCTCGCCAGTGAACGCTTGATTCATTGCCAGGACACATCAACCCCTCCTTCCCACTTTGCCAGAAACTTGACTGCAGAAGTCGCGAGGATGGCACAGGATCTGGCCACAACAAAAAAAGGGCCAACTTCTGACTGAAGGGGACGTCTTCCCTGTGAAATGAGGCGCTTGGCGGACTTGGGTTGGGAGGTGGCCTACCTGGGAATTCCAGAGTTTCGGGAGTCGATTGCCGCTGCTGGTGGGAAACTCTTTGACGTGAACGAGCTGGGGAAAGAGTTTGGGATTGCTGCTGGCCTGAGCTACTGTACTGTACTCTTGGCTCTTCCCGGTGTGCCTAGCTGCTAAAACCTTGAATTCAAGAATCGAAGAACTGCAGGATTCAGCTCCTGAAAGTGGCTTTGTGCCTAAACCCTAAACCCCAAACCCCAAACCCCAAACCCTAAACCCTAAACCCTAAACCCTAAACCCTAAACCCTAAACCCTAAACCCTAAACCCTAAACCCTAAACCCTAAACCCTAAACCCTAAACCCTAAACCCTAAACCCTGCCCAGGAAGATGTCAGAGCCATGATTGTTGGTACCGTGGCGGACTATGGCCCCAGTGCAAAGCCCTGGGCTCTAAACTTCGGCAGCCTGGCGCTGGAGAAGCCCCTCGATGCTTCAAGTCCGAGGCTTTGCAGGGGTTTAGGGTTTAATTAGGGTTTAGGGTTTAGGGTTTAGGGTTTAGGGTTAGCTCAAGCTTTGAGAAGTCCATGGCTGCATGCCAAAGAGGAATCTAGGTTACTCTCATTAGTCATTGGTATATCATGCTAAATGTTTTAACCCCCCTAGTGTTGCACTGTCATTAATAGGTAACCCCTCCCCCCCCCCACCCCCCTCCCCAACAAATTTGGACCTTCTATAAACGCATGGCACGGCGACCCCCCCCAAACAATTTATTTCTTTTTGGTGGGGGGGGGGGGGGGGGGCTGGGCGCGGGGGAAACCGCCCTCAGGGCCTCAAGCCTTTAGGCCCCGCCGCCAGGCCTGTGTATTGTAGAGGGTGGCGCAACAAATTTGTTAAACTGCGTCGGGCTAGCCCGTGGACCCTACCTATCACAATTTGTTTGGGGCCTCGTTTCATAATGAAATTCAATAAGGCTTTACATGGAACTGGCCGGGCTTAGCTTTTCTAGATTCTCCGTTCTGGCTCGTTAAGATTGAGTCCGGGGGACTGTGGGCGTGCACTTTTTTGTGTTTCTTACTCTCTCGTACTTGATAACTATCGTTCAATCTTCAGGTGATGATCTCTCTCATCTTAATTGAAACTGCCTTTTTCATTATTTGTGCGAGAACATGCTATGCATGAAGTGCTACTACGCTTCATGCCAGGCCTACATGGAAACAGCTTTTCAGATTAAGTGAGTATCCCAGTGTTTTGGGCTATGGCAAGATATCCAGGTGAGTCTATACCTGGCTTAGTTCGTGAACTAGGAGGACAAGACGGAGAACTCACTTCGATGAGGCTGTTGGTCAAGTAGCAGGTCAAAAACTCAAAGGACCAGAGACACGACCCATCAAGTGCGATCGTCGGAACGGTGTCGGTCCCTCCCAACGACCTACCCTTGCTTCAGCTTTTCTTAGTATCGTCAGAACAACGAATCCTAAAATCGCATATTTTGAGCACCGGGAAATGAAGGACGCTATTGGGACAATGGGGACACCCCCCTCACAGGCTCCGATAAGCCAGCATTGGGCTACTCCATGTTTTGAATCTTGACAGGAATGCTGGCTTTGTAGTTTATATGTGTTAATTTATTTTGGCAACTTGTTCTTTCGAATGGCAAAGAATGTTGTTTTATTGGATAAATTGTAGTTTCGCAAGGCAAAGTATTAATCAAATGCCATACGGAAAGTCCGCTGAAGTACTTTGTTATGTATTTATACAAAGCATTCGCCCTATGCGAGTTAACTACTGCAGCACTTAGTATATAGCTGAATATTAACTAAATGAATTCAACTTAGAAGGTTGTTTTTTGCACAACTCAAGTACGCACTAGACCACCTTGAGTTTCATAATAATGAAACCAATGCTACTGAAGTACTATTTAAAGACTACTGATGCGCGATGCCTGAAAAGAGACAGGCTTTAAAATACACAATTCTCATAGTAAAGTAGTTGTTGCCTCACAAAGGTCATAGCACAAGTAAATTCACAAACGCAAAAAACATCCCGAAATGCAAGCCTCTCAGGAGAACCTCTGGTGAAGTTGGATTTGGGGGGTTTTAAAGTCTCTAAATAAGTAAAGCAACTGTTTAAGCAAATAACTCTAGGCAACAAACCTGTTTCCAGACAAATAATGCTTCTACTAGGCAAAATATTGCTCAACCATGCAGTACTCATTACATGTTGATTCGACCAATCTAGCAGTCAGTGAATATTCAATTATTGCAATTCTCATAGTAAAGTAGTTGTTGCCTCACAAAGGTCATAGCACAAGTAAATTCACAAACGCAAAAAACATCCCGAAATGCAAGCCTTTCAGGAGAACCTCTGGTGAAGTTTGGATTTGGGGGTTTTAAAGTCTCTCTAAATAAGTAAAGCAACTGTTTAAGCAAATAACTCTAGGCAACAAACCTGTTTCCAGACAAATAATGCTTCTACTAGGCAAAATATTGCTCAACCATGCAGTACTCATTACATGTTGATTCGACCAATCTAGCAGTCAGTGAATATTCAATTATTGCAATTCTCATAGTAAAGTAGTTGTTGCCTCACAAAGGTCATAGCACAAGTAAATTCACAAACGCAAAAAACATCCCGAAATGCAAGCCTTTCAGGAGAACCTCTGGTGAAGTTTGGATTTGGGGGTTTTAAAGTCTCTCTAAATAAGTAAAGCAACTGTTTAAGCAAATAACTCTAGGCAACAAACCTGTTTCCAGACAAATAATGCTTCTACTAGGCAAAATATCGCTCAACCATGCAGTACTCATTACATGTTGATTCGACCAATCTAGCAGTCAGTGAGTATTCAATTATTGGGTGAGTCCAAGATTTATTAAATATACACACAATATGACATAGTGCTCAGTAAATGGTACTTGATTACGGAAAACTAATTAATTCAATTACATACTAATGAAATACCATTTATATACTATTCGCTTAGACAATTTACATAGAAAAGCCTTGAAAAGCACAAATTCCTAAGAACCATACCATCCACCCAGTAAAGGCTATAGTACTGAGCATGGGAATGCGGGGTTTGGGGGCAGAATGCTCAAACGCTCTTTACATGCTACTTGAATATGAAACTAAATTATTCATGTACCCATTAAATACAGTTCTCATAAAATTTACGATGCACAGAAAAGTACAATTTGCAAAGAAAAGCTTCGAAAAGCACAATTTTCTTAGAGGGAAGGGGGGCTCAGGCAGTACGGAAAAGCACAAAAAAGCCACAAACGCACAAAAACACACCAAAAAGCTAAAATTAGCAAAAAAGAACATGAAAGCCAAACAAATATATTTCAGGATTCTTCACAATATTCTGACGGAAAACCAAGAAACGACAATATTTCAGGACTTTCCACCAAATCTGTACGGAAAACCAAAAAAACCAAAAAAACCAAAAAAACCAAAAAAACCAAAAAAACCAAAAAAACCAAAAAAACCAATTCTCAGGGACTCTTCGAAATTAGGCCATCTGCTGGAAGAGTCCTGAAATATTGGTTTTTTTGGTTCTTTTGGTTCTTTTGGTTTTTGGGTTTTTTTGATTTTCCGTACGGATTTTCCGTACGGTTTTGGTTGAGAGTCATGAAATATTGTTCTTCTTTAGTTTTTTTGTTATCCGTGGGACTGGAGAGTCTAGAAATATTGTTGTTACTTGGGTTTTTTTGGTTCTTCAACAGCGACAAAGGGCAGAGAAAGTGCACGCCCACGGTCCCCCGTTTTGTTAAGATTCAGGGCCTCAAGCCTTACTGCGTAAACCATTAACCCTAAACACAAACCCTTAAACAAAGCAACCATCCGGAAAAAAAGTTGTGATAGTGGGGTCACCCCAACAAACTGATGTCGCAGAATCAATTGTCGAAACTTGTGATTATACACCCTGGATATACCAACGCCAGTGCAACACTAAGGTTGCTGCCCATGTACATAGCCTTCCTGCGACGCTTCGCCCCTCAACTGGTGGTTTACTGCCCCGTGGCTCGTTCGCACTGAGCAAACGTGGCCATCTGCCCTGACCATGGGGTATGGTTGCTGCACACGGGGCAGCTCGTTGTACCTTGTGGAGCAGCGGGTTCAGGTTGTAGGATGGGTACCCCTTCCAGAAGCTCCTCAGCATCTGGGGCTCGTTCCGCCTCTCTATGGGCATCATCGTCGCGCGAGTCCTTTTATATCTACAGCGTCCGTCGCATTGCCTGAGTCTGGATTTACAGCGTAAATTACGTAAACTACGCTCTGTTGTCGTGGAGTATAGTCTCCGACATCCATGCTGTTGGCCACCATTAGCTGCTCGTAGCGGTTCTGCCGGCTGATGCGCAGCATCATCTTCTGCTGGGACAGCGTTAGTCAGACTGGGTGTCTGGGCTCGGGCTTGGGCTCCTCAGCCACCGCCGCCTGCGACTCGGACGGTCGTGGGCGGGGGTTTGGGCTTGTTCTTACTGCCGGAAGGTCGGCCCCTCTTCTTGGGCTTTGGTGCTCCGGCGTCCTCAGTAGGGGGCAGGGCCACGACAGCGTCGAGAAGCCTGGCAGGGCAAGCGGGGGCGTCAGCCACTGCAGCAGCCTCTCGCATAGGCTCGGCGTCGGCTGTTCTATCAATTGCCTCCGGCCTTGCCTCCGGAGCTTGGTCGGGCTGTGGCTCATCGGATATAAATACAAGCTTTCTCTTTTTCAAATTCGGACCGTCACTTATCTGGGTCGAGGAGAATCGCGAAGGACACCGACGTGCTGCGCGTGTTGACCTCGTCGGTCAGCCTAAAATTGCGGGTCTGCAGGGTGATGGGGCCCCACAGCTCCACCAGGTGCCCGTCGTGAAGCCAAAGCCCCGGAAGCCCTAAAACCTACACCCTAAACCCTAAACCTGACTGGTGTGCTATGTTCCGTTGTAAGTGTAGTTTTGGGATTTTGATGACGGAAAGCCTCGGCCAATGCTTTGCAGGTGTTTCAAGGTGGGGGTTCCAGGACACACACCGCTTAACATAAGCAGTGCCCTGAGTGACCTGAAGAACCCGGTCTGGGAGCATCCCTGTGAACCTTTGGCTCCCTGTTTTTGTACCCTTGTACATGCTGTGGTGAAGATTGATGAGGTATGATGTTGAGGGGGCTGAAGAGGGAGATGGGATGCCTCGGGACCCTTTTTGCGATGTCTGCGAGAACCCAAGTGATCACGACTGTTCCCTGCGGAGTGATCCCAGAGGGGGTCTGCTAGGCGGGCAACAAAAAACCCTAAACCTTAAACCTAAAACGTGAACCCCCCAACACATGCAGGGTTTAGGGTTTAGGGTTTCGCCGTATCGAGAATCATTTCGGAACCCCCCACTTGAGAAGTTTGGAATTGTTAGGTTGTATTTGATATACACAAATCAACGTTGTATTCGACACGGCCCCAAACCCTGTATTGGATGTGAGTCTTGGGTTTAGATGTTTGGGGCCTAGGTCAGGGTTAAGGGCCCAGGCTTCAGGGTTTAGGTTTAGGGTTTCAGGTTTGGGGTTGAGGGTCTTGTGGTTCCTGGGTTTCCGGCTTACAAGTAAGGTCTAGGGCTTCCAGCACCAACTGATCAACGTGAAGAAGATCCAAGCTTCTGATCGTGCGTTCGCTGCCATTCTCATTGATGGCTCTGTAGTGGCCTGGGGTGACCCTGTCGAGGATGCCCCTCCGTCTTGTGAAGGGTAGGGTAAACAAAATGGCCCTCAAATATAGATATCCCGGCCTTTAAGAAAGGTATGTGAAATGCAACATGTTCTTTACTGATGCCCTGAATATTGTTATTTTCCAGTCGTCGTGAGCCAATGGTGAGTTCCCAGACATACGAAATGAGTCGGCTGTCAAAACCGATTCAATGTGCTGCGATCCTTTTGCATGCAGTGTGCGCTGGCGGTGACGGCGCCACTACTGCAAACCAGGCGATTGCGATTACCACGCCGAGCACAACACCCAGCAGAGCGCCAAGTGATACAGACTACATCAGCACTTTCTTGGCCACTGGCTGCCCCAGAGACACCGGCCACAACCTTGACTGGTGGAAATCTTAGCCAGAATCCGTCGTGTTCGAGGACATGTACTTGTACTGCAAGCTGAATGCAGATAACGAAGCCGAGCCTTGGCGGACAGAGATATGTTGTGGCCCAGAAGCTACTGCGGAAAGCTGCAATCCGTTGTGCCAGAAGCAAACTGAATGGTCAATGTCACCTTTGTTGCAAAGCCATGCGGCGCCAGGCCTAGGAAATACAAGGCATGACTGGAGGAGCTATTGTTTCCTCCTGCTTCTTTGCTCAATGTTCATGGTTTGGTGATATGCGCTCGCTGCAATTCTCGGCATCGAATGGGATCCACAGACAGATGCCGGATGTTGCTGAGCGTTTTAAGATGTGGCCACTGGGGCACTCTGCACAGCAATTGTTTGTGCAGAGGCATCAGGTTGCCGTCGCAACGGCCAACTGTTCGATGTTGTCGGATAGGCTCGCTACATGGGCTGCTGTCCGACTGAAGCGACCAGTAGTCATGGTGGCAAGAGCCAGAGCTCTTGGGGCAAAGTGACGCCATCGCGCCAATCAGCCTTCGTGCTCACCCCTCAAGGCTTTGCTGGTTGCCTTGTTGAAAATTCTGGCTCAGTTGTTCCAGCCAATGCCGCTGCTCTGAACTCTTGGCAAGCGTTTCGCGGGAGCCTGGCACAGATGCTGTCTGACACTTGCCAAGCAACAGGTCACCCTGAGCACCACAGCACCTGGACGGCCTTCGCGCGAAAATTTTCAAGCAGTGCCTACCTTGTATGTAAATGGTACGACAAACCGGTGCCAAGCCGGAGTACAAAGCGCAGTTTTTGCTTTACGATGCTGCCGAGTCTGCCAGGCAGCTGCAAGCAAAGTCTGCCACAACTCTGTACATTCTGCACCGCTCCGTTGTCACTTGGGGCCACCCTGACAGTGGCGGTGACAGCAGGGCTGTTCAGTGGTAATTAGTGGAGAAGATTTCTCATGAGATTCCTTTCACACGTCTCCTGCCAGCGGACTTGCCAGATGGCTGGGGCCAGCATAGTAGTGCCTAGTGCTTCCATCCAACACAAGCCTGACTCCGCGAAGACCAAATAATCAAGACGTGAAGACTTCCCTATGCCCAGCATATCAGACTGTTTGGCCGAGGTATTGTCGCACGTTGCCCACTTTGCCGCTGGGCACCTCGGTTTCATGCTTCCCACCCATCAACCCTGAGTTGACTCCGGCCGTCTACCATGCCTCGCATCTCCGCATCTCAAAGCGCTTTTTGGAGCTGGTGTGGGCAGGCATCTGGGAATTCCGGATGTTTCGCTGCTCACGGCGGCAGGCCCAGGCCAGCGTGCGGTCCTGGACAGCGGGGGTTGCTCGGTTGCTCTTGCTCTTGGTCTGCAGGATACTGGGATGCAGCCTTCGCAGTGCACGGTGGCTCAGCTGGAGGCCTGGCTGCGGCCTCAGCAAGAGAAAACTGGAGACCTGCCACAGAAGTTTAAAGAAGCAGGCATTGTAGCTGCCATCAGGTTGATGCAATAAAGGCCAACAGCGCCAATGCTGCCGCGATCGAGGGGGTTAGAACCTTGCTGCAACGGCCAGAGTTGTCCTTAAACACCTCTGAGCCACTTGTCAATGAGTACTACACTGCTGTGAACCTGGTGACTACCGTCCCTTTCCTTGCAGACAAGCTAAACGAGTTTCGAGGATGAAGAAGTATTATTGTTTTCAGTTCTTTGTTTCGCTTTCTTTGACTTCACTCTGTACACAGCCTGGCACAGTGTTCGGCACCAAACCTTGTGCACTCCCTGCTGCCTACCCTCGGGGCATGGGGTACCCAGGAAGGATGAAGCATTTTATGAGTCCGCTGGCAAGAAGTTCGAGTTTGTGGGCCCATTGCTTGGGTCGAGGCCCCTTGCCCCCGAGCCCCTCGGAATTATTTATCGTACTTGAGCGTGTCAGGGCAGCTCCACCCTGAAACTTCGCCCCGGCCACCAACCCTTCTGCATCCCCAAGCCACTCAACTCTACATCCTCAATGTTTCCTTCTGCTGGTTTGAGAGCTGCATGCACCGGCATGTAGGAAGGAAGCTGGCAAACGTTGTCGCCCCGCTTTGGAGCGCCAGGTCAGAAGATTTCCTCCGGCAGGTGGAAGTTTCTCGTGGCAGGGGTCAGGAGGCGACGGTTGCGAAAAATGTGACTAAGGCATACAAAGGCCACTTGAAGTGCAAGTGCAAAGGCTGGTCGCTCCAAGACACGTTCCAAACTCATGTTGAGATTGGCGAAGGCCATGTACATCTTTTTCCCCCTTGGGAATCGTTTTTTTTGTGTATATCAAACCCAAGAGGCTATTTAAACGTGTTTGTTTATTAAGGTTCTTAGGGGAGTTGAGACATAGGGTGCCTTGGAGGTTGTGTACGTGTCAATGGGAACGGCCATTACCGGCAGCCATCCTGACTTCGGTTGGTACGGCACCGCAGGCAGCGCCGTCACAGGGCAGCTGGGCTGACCTGGTGTAATCCCCTACTAAACCCTAACATTGACCCCCCCCCCCCCGGACCCCTGATAATAAAACCCCCCCTCATTTTCTTTAATGCAACTATCATGGGGGGGGGGGTATGGAATCTTAGGGGGTAGGGGGGGTTTAATTTTTTGGGAGAGGGGATTACAAGGCGGCCATGGGTTTGTTGTAGTGACTATGTCGAAGGCCTTGGGAACAATGGGAAGAACATTGGTCCGGGGGCACATGTTTGTAAGCAGTCGTGCGAGTCTTGCGTGTGGCCTTCAAGCGTGCAGTTCTTTGACATTCCTTGCTTCGTGCATCTCAGGAAGGAGCTCTGCCAAGCGGTATTTCGGGCCGTGTTTGCAGAGCTGGCTACAACAGCGTTGATGAATCCAGCCCCCGTGATTGTGATTTCCACAGGCCAGGCCCGCGCAAAGGTTTGTTGGTGCTCAAGGGGCCGGACCCCATAAAACCTTCTGTTCACTCCCTCAGCACCACGAATAAGGGCTTATTGAAGTTCACTTTTCTTTCTTTGGGACCTGCAGGCCATGCGATCGTAGATGGTGACGAAAGGAATGTGCAAAGCGTGGTGTGGTAGAGAATGACATACTCGAGCATCCTGAAGAAAACAAGGAGCACAAGGAAGAGGGGGATGTAGGGAGACGTATCCCCCGGATGAGGCCTTAACAAGCCCAAGTATGTTCTGAATGGGCGCAAATCGGGAATGTGGGGCCCCTTTCACCCGCCCATTCCCCCCTAAATTTCTGGTGAGCATCTCGAGGTGGGCAGCCAGATGCCTTGGAGGACATCATCGTGCCGGCCAATGCCATCTGCGCCCCGAGCCTTCCTCAGGCCAGGGAAGTGTAGAACCTGCTCCCCCGAGTCACACCTTGACTCGCCAAAAGCATTGTCCCTAAAGGTTTTGGAGTCCTGCTTGTTAGAGCTCAGAGACACCCCTGGGGATAACCTTGATACCTCTCTCTCTCTCTCTGTCTGTCTGTCTGTCTGTCTGTCTGTCTGTCTGTCTGTCTGTCTGTCTGTCTGTCTGTCTGTCTGTGTGTGCAAGGTTTGCGACCCCTGCAGGTGGAACTCCTGCGCAGAGCGAAGCCTGCGCTGTTTGTCACACATGGTGGTGCGCCCCTGAGATGCCCTGCGGTAAAACTCAGCATTGGAACAAACATGCCTTGGCCCCAATCGGTCCTGGATCAAGGCCAAAACTCCTTCATGGAGTCCTTGACGGCGCCTGGGCATGCTTATTGGCTTCCCAGAGGGAATGTGGCAAAGTGACAGCATTCCATGTCTTGAGCTCCAGAAACTCACCATCCAGGGTTGTGGGCATGTAGATGGAAGGTGCTGTGGTTGAGAGATGGCCAGTGACCCTTAACCCTTCTGGGCGGAACACACGACTGAGAACCTTCCAGGGACACAACTACGAGATTCTCCACTACGGGATTCTCTGGGGATGGGCACTCCAGGGATAGTCTGTGGAGACCTGTCTGCGGAGACGAAGAAGAAGAAGACGAAGCCGAAGAAAACACAGAGAGAGAGCGAGAGAGAGAGCTTGTGGGCCCCCCTCACCGGGGTCTTCACAAGCGAGGAGAGAGAGACAGAGAGAGAGCTTGTGGAGGTCAGGAGGTCATGCGCGCTCAAGCAAGCAAGCAAGCAAGCAAGAGCTTGTGGAGAGAGAGAGGGAGAGAGGGAGATAGGGAGATCTGACTCGGAGAAGGAGGAGAAGCAGAGAGACAGGGACACAGAGTCCCAAGCACCCTTGCGGCAAAACCTCGAAAACTTAGCGCGCCCAAAACCCCTACTCTGAATCCAGGTGGGTACCCCCATGCTGTTCTGCCCGGGATTTGGTGACCAGCTCGCCACGGCAGCAAAGGTGCGTGTTTGTTGCTGTGAGAGGGCCCTTTCTGCAACGACAGAATCCATGTTGGGCACATGGCAGGCTGAGCGCTTGGGACTTGGTCTCAAAGTAGACCGACCACCCAAGCAAGAGCAAGCTTCTAGTGAGGTGGGGCTGTCGTTGTTGTTGATGCACTGTCTTTTCGGTGGTCAGTCCTTGATTCAAAGAATGATGGTCCACAGGGACCTCTCATAGGTTGGTTATGCATGGCGCTGGGGGCCTGTCCAGGCCATCGCGAGCTATGAAGCGGCCGTAGCACGAGGTCTTCGGCGAATGCTTGGGGCAGAGCGCGCGAAGTTTACGAGTGCGGCCCAGATGGTCGTAAAGGAGCTATCAGAAGCAGGCGGTGTGGAGAGAGCTCTCCAGATTTGCCTCCAAACTGCGGCGGCTGGCAAGGCATGATCTTAGAACCGTCGCCTCTTTGGGACTTCGTGGATGCATGAAAAAAGTTGGGTGCTTGGGGGAGGTGGAGGGGGTCCTCTAATGAAGTCTCGAAGTCCCTGTCAGCTTTCAACACTGCAGCAATCAGTGGGGCAAGGAGATTGTTCCATGCGGGTAACATCTCGTGCGATTTTTCTGCAGTAGTTTTGTTGATGGCCCTGAGCGAGGTGTCGCACCCATTCCCATGAGTTCCAGGTACTACTTGAGTAGAGGACGGATATGTTCGATGCCTTTTGCGGCCCGATGCCTTCCCCGCCAGCTCGAGATGCAGGATTGTTGCCTGTTAGCAAGGTTTAGGGTTGAAGTCTGCGGGCAACGCACATTCACAGAATGCCGGCGCTGTGCCGGTTACAAGACCTGAATCCAACATTACCGACTCTTCGCTTCATCCCCGTTAAATTCTGCACACGCACAGCATGGAGGGCAGAGTCACACACTACGTGACGGAATGACGGATGCATGGAGCCACAAGCTGAACTGAGTAGGCCCGCTGCAAAAAATCTAGCATCCTTTCCTTCGTTAAATTGGGGTTTAAGGGGATATCATGCCGAGGAGGAATGTTTCAGAGGCTGGTAAAGGACCCAATGGACCCAACCTAATGAAACAGGGGGAGCTGTAGCTGCAGAGCCTCATGGTCCGGCATGGCGCATGTGCCGGGCGCGCCCAAAAAGGCAGGAGCCGACGGCTTGAGTTGTTGGTTCCGAATGCTCAGCGTGAGGCTTTTTGTAAGCTTCCCGAGGTTTTTTGTGGGAGAAGACCGGGAATATTCATAGAGGGGGTTTAGGTTTTTGGGTTTAGGGCTTAAGGGTTGAGGGTTTAGGGGGAGGGTTCAGAAAGGTTAGTTAGGCAATCAGCTGGCTCAGCCTTGCAAGGCCTGGTGGGCCATCTCCACAGGCCCCACTTGTTCGCTCCAACATCATCCGAACTCAAAGGGGGCAATCTTGCGATGTTCCCCCTGTTACTAACAGTCCTTAACAGGGATTATCGTACCCCCCCCCACCCCCCCCGGATGATAATCCCTATTAAGGAGCTGTTAGTAGAAGGGGGAACATCCCTTAAAGATAAAATGGTGAGTTTTGCACCTTGCTTGAAGTCCTCGCTTCGGTTGTGGTGGTCGCTGCGCTCATCGCCGTCCGCATCCAACCCGATGAGGGCCACTTGGGACGGAAGAAGAAGTTGTCAGATGCGTTGTGGTTCCCTATGGTTCCCTCAACCCTCTATATACTGTAATCCGTAATCTAAAATTCCAAGAACACACGCCCAGCACAACACAGCCAAGGCAAGGCACAGCCGGCGCACGGCGACGTGCAAGGCCGTACGGCACGCGAGCCCCTGCCACTTCTGGAGTCCATCCCCGAGAATCCCGAACGTCGCATTGGCTTTGGGATGGCAAGTTGTGACACTAACCGCTCTGCTCTTTTTGCAGGCCTTCAGAAGCCCTACATTCTCTGGCGGCACCTGAGGGGGGTGAGTGGCGGGCAGCGGGCTTTGCAAATCCATTGGTCGGTTGAAGCTCATACTTATGAACCACAATCAGTTCTCAAAGCAACTTGAGGTAGTCTCGCAGCTTCCCCGCATTTACGTGCCCTCCGGCTTTTTCTGGGAGGCCGGTGCCGTTGTTGATGCGCGCGTGCTCTGTGCGTGCAGGTACACGATGACTTCCTCAGCGACTCGGAATGCGAGACGTTGAAGCAGCAGGTGCAGCGGTCATCACCCAACAAGATCCCGAACCGGCGTGCTTATGGTTCTGAGTGTCAGGTAGCCGGCCGCCTGGAGCCCGCAAAAGTTGTCCAGAAGGCAGACAACAAATTCGATGAGCAGGTGCCCGAGCTGTGTGAAAGATTTCGACGAACGCTTGGACATGGACTTCGTCTGGTTCGGACAGAAGCATCTTCATTTGTATTGGGCTCATGTGTCGCTTTGAGTCCGTGGCGCCAGGTCAGCGTCAGAAACAACAAGCAGATCTGGTTGAATTACACGCAGGAGAAGGACCTGCCAGCCGCGACCTTACATCACCTCGCCACTTCTGATCCGCATTGCGCGCTTGGCTACAAAGCTCGTGTCAGGACATCAGCTGCCCCCCAGAATAAAATTCCCTGTCAAGCAAGATCTGCTGTGGTTCCACTGGTTGCTGAGGAGGTCTTCCACCTGCTGAAGAGGATGCATCGTGCTGCTCGCATTCCCGACGATGACGCCGAAGCTCTTCAGATAGGTGCGGCACATCTCGTGGCGTGTGCCTCCTCGAATGACTGGAATGGCTGCAGGCCTCTACGGCAGGGAGCCCATTCTCTGTCGAAGGCGCAGCCCACAAGCCTCCCTGATCCAAATGTGAGATCTGAGGTCCGGGCGAAAAGTATGAGACGCACCAAGACTCCGATCCCCAGAAGCTTGGAGAGCAAGAGGGAGAAGTTTTGGGTGACATTTGGGTGACTTAAGCATGTCTGCTGCAACCGAAAACACTGCCTGGAGACTCCACTGTTGGCATCGAGGAACGACGTAGCCCGTCCGAGCCCGAGCTTTGAGAGAAGACTCAGGGACTTTGCTTTAGACTCCTTGGACCCTCTGTATGTGTGTGTGTGTGTGTGGATTCCTGCATTTTGTTTATGCGTGTTTTTTTGTTTGCAACGGGTCCTTGAGAGTCGAATGCGTGCCTTTCAGGCCCTGCAACCTTGATCGTGTGCCCCGGACACGGATTCCCGCGCGGGGCGCTTTATGTTAAGACCACCTGTGGGAGCCACTCCCAAGAGGAGGGGGCGTTGTGTTGCGGCTGCTCACCATGTTCTCATCGTTCGCAGAACATTGATCCGATGTGGAATGGCAGCCGCGCCTTCTTTGAAGCATATGTGGATGTTGACCGTCAAAGAGCGGACATAATCTTGACGCCATCTCACATGCATGCGCAAAAGTGTCTCTGCCTCCTCGTGTCGCTGCGTGTCAGTTGTGAGAAGCTGTGAATTTAGCCGAATCTGACCTTCGTTCAGGTGAGAGCTTTCTTTGATGCTTGTAAGTCTTGAGCGTCTTGGAAGTTTAGCTTTGGGTTGGGACGGTTGGGATATATGAGACATCAATAGATGTCATACATATGTGATCAATGGAGCTTCAAGTTCTGGAGGGCTGGAACCTGAACTCCACGAGCTCAAGCTTATCGTAGACCTTGCTACCCTTGAACACGTTCGGCGGCTACTTGCAGCTGGCAAGGCCCGAACGCGCAGAAACCCCTTAAGTGAGGCGTAAGAATGCTCTGCCACACATACAAATGCAGTCAGCTTGGGCTGGGCTCAGGGGTGGGGGCAGAGGCAAAGTAACCACGGGCCACACATCTTCAAGTGCAAACCTCGAGGTAGAAGGGCGCCTAGCTTGTGTGGAGTGAGGAGAATATGCACGGACCCTACCTGTGAGGCGATGGCTAGGGTCAAGGCGGAGTTGTCGTCGTCCTCGAAAGAGCAGGCCTCGTCCTCTCGTCGGTCTACGCAGGCAGGTGTTGTTGGGAAGGTCAAGCGCGTGCGTGCGTGCTTGTGTGTGCGTGGGCTCGCGCAAATGTCAGGCGCAGAAATTCCAGACAAAATGCGCAAATGTCCGCTTCTTAGACATTTCATGGGGTTCAAGTGCGGGAGGCATTGGGGTTGAGGGGCGGTGGATGCCAAGTTCAAGTACTGCGGCAACTACTACAACCGGCAGTCGAGGGACACCACAAAGTGGTGCCGCAATTGCGTCGTGGTCCCAGTGTTTCGTCGTTGTTTTTTTTTGTGATGCGTTCTTGTTTCACGTTTGCAGACGTTTTGGTCAGGGGAACGCCCGCAAGGCTGGCAGCGTGTGGGAAGGGGGGGAAGGGGGGAAGCGGGGATGGGGGGGCAGCAGGTAAAGAAGCCGACAAAGAAGCCGAGCAAGGATGCAAAGAAGGGGCCTGCGGAAGAGGTGTCGATTGGAGAGTGGGAGGGAGGAGCGGGCGGGTGGGAGCGGCGTGGTCTCGTGGAGGCGGCTTCCCACATCGTTGTGTTCATTGCTGTGGGTCTGCGGCTTGGATGGGGTGGGGAGTGTTTTTGCGGCGCGAGTTCTACATTTTTTCGTTCGTCAGGAGAAGGGACCTCGGAGCACTTCACGGTGTCGCCAGGGCGCTTCAAGAAGTTGGCTCCTCGGGGTTCTGACAGAGCTTGTGCGGGCAGGGAGCGTTTTTCTCAGATTGAGGCTTCACGCAGCCGCACGTGAAGAGGCAGGAATGAGGGAGTGTGGTAGAAAGGGGTGAGAGAGAGAGAGAGAGAGAGAGAGAGAGAGAGAGAGAGAGAGAGAGTGAGTGAGAAAGCGAGAAAGAAACAGAGTGAGTCTTGAGGAAGCGCCGGCTACGGACAAGAAGGACCACGAGGCGTGAGGAATGAGAGAGAGGGAAAGGGGAGAGAGAGAGAGAGAGAGAGAGAGAGAGAGTGAGTGAGAAAGCGAGAAAGAAACAGAGTGAGTCTTGAGGAAGCGCCGGCTAAGGCTAAGGACAAGAAGGACGACAAGGCGTGAGGAATGAGAGAGAGGGAAAGGGGAGGGGGAGAGAGACAGAGAGAGAGAGAGAGAGAGAGAGAGAGAGAGAGAGAGAGAGAGAGAGAGAGAGAGAGAGAGAGAGAGAGAGAGAGAGAGAGAGAGTGAGTGAGAAAGCGAGAAAGAAACAGAGTGAGTCTTGAGGAAGTGCCGGCTGGGGAGCTTGCGTCTTGGCCGACGCAGGCCAGTGTGTGAGAGAGAGAGAGAGAGAGAGTGCGACGGAGAGAGAGAGAGAGAGAGAGAGAGAGAGAGAGAGAGAGAGAGATAGAGAAATAATGAATGACATGTTGGCTTTGTTGCAGATCTACTTCCGCCCGGGTCCGGTGAAGGAGGAGGAGGCCAAGCCGTGCAAGTTTTAGAAAGGCATGAGAAAGGAGAGAGTGAGACAGAGTGGGAGAGTGGGCAAGAAGAGCAACCCACAGCACAGTACGCCGCTTTGGCTTGGCCACATGCATGCTCGGCCTGACGATGAAGGGACCCTAAACCCTAAAAGAACCCTAAAGGTTAAATCATGGGGGTGGTCCAGTGCCAGGGCTCTTATATGCTCTTATCCACATTCTACAAAAGAGTGCTAACAGGATGGGCATCCAGGGGTGCTTGCGCGCAAAGTGCGCCCGGCGTTCCGCAGGTACCTCAATGATGTTGCGGAGGGAGGCGAGACCTTGTTCCCTCTGGGCTACTCAGATGAACCGGGCATTCCAGAAGCTGATTCTTCTTCTCATCTCGTGCACTTTGATACAGCGCTGCAGAACTCCCTACCTGCGAAGCGGCTTAGCGCTTCCACACCATCTTAGGAAATCGAGATGACTGCACCATGCAGTGGAGGGTTGCGGCAGATGGCAGCAACGTGCCGCCTGGCGATCATTGGTGCTTTCTCCAACTGAGCTTGGGAAGCAGCCTTTCAAGACACAGCTCGGCTTCTATGGGGCGCCCTAGGCCCAGGCCCTGTATTCCGCACCGACTTCTAGCCAGAATACGCGACAGTTAACAGGCAGTTGAAGGCAGTCTTTGATCGTCCAAAGACAGCTCTGCATAAGGTTTGGTGCCAGCGCTTGCTGTGTCCAGAGCCTAGCCCTCTCGGTTAACTTCTTTCCTGCACAAGGACTTTTCTTCCGGCTGAAGCTCGCAGGACAGAGACGACCTCCTTCGCATCTCTCCGAAGAAGGGTCGCGCAGTGCTGTACCGAGCCTTGAAATTGGAATCGCACGTCAGACAATGGGAGGAGCTTTGCAGTGCCTCAAAAGCCTCCAAGATAAACAAGAGACTCCCTCTCATTATCTAATATCTTCGGTGTCTGCTGGTTTGAAGTGGTTGAGTGGTGGCGTGAAGCTGGGGGAATAACTTCTATGGCGTACTGATTGGGATGGCGAAGGGTCGACGGGGGTCGTTCGAAGATATTGCCCCCTTTTATGGAGTTTCATTAGAGCATGGCTCGTACAGTCAAGTGTAAAACAACCCCCAGATGTGGTCATCTGCAGTGAGCATCTTGACAAGCGTAGCTGTGAGCAGAGGGTGCGAGCTTAGAGGCCAAGCGTAGCCATGACCCCCTTTATGCAAGCATCGTTTTTGCGTTCCAAGACAGAAAGTTCAGAATGAAGTTGCACCTGATTTACACTGCATCACCTTGGCCCCTGATGTGGGATACCCCCCCCCCCAAAAAAAAAAGGACAAATCACAACAAAAACAAAAAAGATGGTCATGATATTTTAATGCTCCCCCAAGGCGACCTGCAGCAAGCCGAGGTTCTTCAACCATGATCCTGCTCTCGCCTGAGATCTGGGGGAGGTTCGGTCGGCTCCTCCTTCCATGCTCAGGAAGCCGCCTTTTGCATCCCTGGTGCTTCCGTTTTTTTGGGCTCTTGTGGTTATATATATATAATATAATAAATAAATAAATAAAAAAAATATATATATATAATATATATATATATATATATATACATGGTAAGGGGCAGCTTCTGACGAGGCAGGGCAGAAAGACCGCATGGCCGAGCATGCCGCCTGCCCTGTGAAGCAAGGCACGTTGTGGCGGCTTTGGGTTAGGAGGGGGGCAAATATCGCGTAGTGCCCGGATGCAAAAAGGAGGGGAGAAGTTGCAGGGAGCTTTTAGCCGACTTCCCGAAACCACTGCCATACAGCAAGGCTATGCAGGGCCCAAAACTTTGCATATCCCGTGTTATTAATCTTATACTGATGGTTCTGATAGAATCTTTCTCGAAAACGGACTTAATGAAGTATGGGCAGTATAAATGCTGGTTGTCAACGCCATCGAAAGCAAGAACAAGATGTCCAACAATTAGAAAACTCATCGTACATCAGCTCTCGTCCACAAATGCAGCCAGCTCAGTTCACAGATGCAGTTGCAAACTTCTTGGCAGCTAAATGAAAAAATGGGGTGAACTGGGTGACGGTGCAACCATCGAGACGCCAGCACAGGTCTTCTCGTAGCAGCAGAATGCGCATTTGTTCCCTTTGGTGAAGTTGAACGGGTTTTCCAAGGGTGTTGCTGTTGAACTGGGAAACCTGGGTCGTAGTGCCCCATGTGGAGTTCTTACATAAGTTACTTTTGCAGAATGGTGGCTTGTTCTTGACAGTTTCTCTAAGTTCGGAGAGAGGTGTTGTGGTTATGCCTGTGAAGGAGTTTACTTCGTTGTTGTTTTCTCTCCTTTTGCTACTGACTTAGAAGCGGTTCTGGAGGACGGTGTTAGATGCTTGCGCCGGAAGGCGAAAAGTGGATTGCCCAGCGATGGTTCCGCCGCTTGGCTTCATAGGCCTGGTAGCTTCTAGTAGCATGAGTGTCAAACTTGGACCAACCATGGAGCTGAGAGGGTTTTGCGGGGTTTTGGGGCTTTCGGGCCGGGCCCCGACTCAGAGACAACGGTCATCGATGTTTCGGGTTTGGAGGCGCTTGGCAGAGTGCCAAGGCTGCTTGCGTACTCTGGACTTGATGAGCATTTTGAAATAGTTGAAAGATCTTTTTCGAGACGGACGGCCCAGTTCGGTCGGAGGCTTCGATTTCCGCACATCCCAGAATCGGGGTCATCTGCGTGCTTTTTGTTGAGACCCCTGTTGTTCCATCTGATTGCTGCTTCTTCGAAGAGCTCACTGTTCCGCATGCTGTCCTAGGCTATGAGCCCTATCAGCGGCTGGTGCATCCTTTGGACTTGCGCAAGCGGCCCAGTCTGATGTTCCGGATGACGCCCAACGACCCACAACCGCACAAAGCAAGGATTTGATGGTTTGCCTTTGGCACATCAGCCGTCCCCTGCCACTTCTGCAAGGCCACACGGTAGTTACACGGTTACACGTACAGCCATGTACAGCCTGATGCCTGGGAGGGGCGACATCCGGATCTTGTCCCAGAAGATGCCGAGCGTCTATGTCATCGAGGACTCGTTGGGCCTCCTCTGTGTGCAAAAACGAAGAATCGTCCGTAGTCTCGCGGCTACATTTTGGGGTTTGATAAATCTGCTATTTATTGAGCTTGTAGGGTTTAGGGTTTAGGGTTTAGGGTTAGGGTTTAGGGTTTAGGGTTTAGGGTTTAGGGTTTAGGGTTTAGGGTTTAGGGTTTAGGGTTCCGAGGACTTTCTCAGCTCTGACGAGTGTGAGCTCCTGATTGGTTTGGCTCCCCAGGGCTGGAGGCTTGGGCATGGTTGTGGCTCGCATCTTCTCGCGCTGGAGCTTAGGTTCGAGATTTGTATTTACTAAATAGATTAATAAATAAGTAAGACTTACTTAATAGTTAATTAATACTTAACTAAGAATGTCTGAGCCAAGGCCTTGGAGAAGGCCTGACCAGACGCAGGGTGCAGCACTCAAAACTCACTCCCCCAGGTCCTTGGGGCAGTTTGTTTGGATCTGACGCAGGTCTGTGCCGTCTTGTGGAAAGCTGTAACCTCGAGGCACTGCGCGTGAAAGAGCGATTGCTGTTACTGCAAGGTCATGCATGCAGAGGAGGCAGCCAACGCTACCTTGGAGCGCATCGCAAAACGTCCAGCTCCTAGCCAACGTGGCACCATTGTTAGCCCAACAACTCGCCCTGCAGTTCGTCCCAGACTCTCACCCCAAGCGAGAGTGGCTGTAGAAGCTATACATCAAGCAAACAGCCAAGCTAGGATCGCAGAAGTACAGTCTCCTATCTCCTGCGGCCATGAGGGCTCAATCAGAACCAGCAGATTATGTTATGGCGGGAGCGGTCACAGCCCTTCTGGCAACCAGAGAGGCTGATGGATTCCTTGGCCCAGAGGAGCCCGATGCGTTGCCAAGACGCATGCGCGCTCGCGCACGCTGTGTTGCATTATTTTGTGTGCGTGTGTGGTCGGACAAGGGAAGCATCAACAGAGTCCTTATTAAGCTTTACACACTCGTCGTGTGAGGAGAGGCTTTCAAGCTATGCAATTGAAGAATATATAATAAATAATATACAATATACAATGTATTATATATAATGTGTAATATAAAATAGAAAATATATTATCTATAATACATAATATATTATATACAATATACTATATATATATATATATTATATGTAAGATAAATTTGTACCATCCACGGAGGGTCAGCCTGTAACCTGGAAAGCACTACGTCAACAGGTATCTGAGCTTTCATGCGAGGAGGATTCTGACCTAGATGGCCTGTCAGACTTTTCATTTGAGGAGGAGCTTCTTGCGAGCTTAAGCTGCAATGCCATTGTGGGTTTTGGGTTTTGAGAGTCGGGATGCACGAGGCCCACGGCAGGCACAGTGAAGGCGGCACGGGTTTCCCAGCTGATTGCTTAAGGTCGAGCGTTCAGCTGAGTACAGATACGGCCAGGACCACAGTCCTCCGATGTCCTTCGTGCAGTGGGGTTCATAGTCGGGTTTGCACTGCGGGTGCAAATCTCTGCAAGAGCTTTCTTGCAGTCAAGAAGGTAGAGACGACCTGGGAGCTGGAAGTCCGAAAACTGTCCGGTGAAAGTTTGATGCTCGCAGTACACAGTGGAATGCCAGCCTCTAGGCCGCAGTAGCAAGGCCGCAGATGTTCTTGCGTGAGCACGAGGGTGAGAGACCACAGCTGTGCCGGATGCCGAGCCATCTTTTGTTTTTTGCCCAGGTTTCAGAACTGAGCCGCGCCATCGAAGTTCACTTGGGCATTTCTCAGCATTGTAACTTTGGCCTGTCTGCTATTCATGCAATGACACCAGTGAACGCACCGTGGACAAGAAGATTCTGTGATCTGTGATGGCCACATACACAAGGTCAGCGCTGGATAGCTGGGGAGCAAGTCTTGCCGTGGCGGCAGGGCCCGCACAGTTTGGTGCCTCGGTCGCCATGCTTTTACTCTATGCTTTGGAATCACGGATCAGCTGATATTGTATGGGAAGTGTTCCAACGACGCCCAGGTTGCTTCCCTTTGCTTTAGTCTTCATACCAATATTTGTATTAATATTAATAGTTATAATAATGATAATAACACAGGTGGCAAGAGTCCTCGAAAATGTCCCGGAGCTCACAGTGATCCACATTGGCCACGAGCCTTTAAACCCTTTGCCAAGTCGACACTTGACAGCACATGGGACTTCGTCGTGCAGAATTACGCTTCCGGTTGGTCTTTCCATTGGCAAGCTGTGTGGACTCAGGTTTTGATGTGAAGCTAATTGCCTTCAATATGAGCCTTGGCCCAGAAGAGTGAGAGGCACAGCGCCCCTTTGCAGCTAGCTTGGTGCTTTCATCGAGTTTTGAATGTGTGTGTGTGTGTGTGTGTGTGTGTCGGTGGGTGGGTGTGTGGGTGGGTGGGTGGGTGGGTGGGGGGGGTGGGTGTGGCGTGTGTGTCCAGTTGCAAATACATACAAGAATGGGGTTTCTTTTTTTCACGAAGTGCTCCAGAATCTTCGATAAAGTGCACGTGACTTTTGGTGTCTTGCAACGAAATTGACACCCGTCATTTTGCGACTACCAAAACTGCCATTCCTGTGGAAACACCATTCTTCTGCGACTACCCTTTTGTTTGGCCTTGAAAAGGTGCAAAACGTAGGCGGGCTCTCCAGAGGTAGGGTGCCCTTTTGCTCTTACTTTCAGGTTCCCGAAGTTTCATATTCAATTTCAAGATTCAGGCTGAGCTCTAAACACGGCCTTCCCTACTTCTGAGGGTGGCGCGAGGACAAAGCAGCACCAGGGGATTGCAACACGTCAAACGTGCATACATGCAAGACAACCCAACAATATGGGAATGCAACAACGGGCGCAGACATGACGTGGCTCGGTCACGCCGGCAGCTTGACGAAAACGAGCTCGCGGACGGAAGACACAGCGATGCCCAGCCTCCCTACGCTGGGTACTCCCAAACGCAGCACAAGTCAGTAAGGCCAACCCGCGACCCCTGTTACATACGCACGCTCATGATCAAACAGGTCACTACTCTGCCGCCAGCGCAGTGCGGTGGCGCAAAATCGCCCGAGCCCGTTCAGTAAGAGAGCACACTCAGACTCAAAACCACTTCACCAGGCCAACATGAAGTTTCTTTCGTAAACCTGAAGGCCGATTGCACGGAGCCCCCCCGGTTGTTTTCGAAGCTTTTGGGCTCTGCTCCCAAAACAACAGGTTCTTGCGCGGTTTAGGGGCAGAAAGAACCAACTCTGTCCCTGCCCTCGGTATGGTCTGAAAGTTTAAGTTATCCATCAGCTGTGAATTGCCTGGGCAAGGGTCTGCTTTCTTGGTTTGGAGTTTGGGGCACCTCAGGAAGGCTGCTTACCGTGATTCTTCGAGAGTTTCTCTTTTTCGCTCCGTGGCAGCAGAGGTCCTTAGCCAAGGCCCCGAAATACCTGCATGTAAGACATGATCTGGGAAGCCGGATTGTATCCTAATCCGCGGCAGTCGCAGCCGTGGACTTTGTGTCGTGAGACAGATGATCAATCCACCTTTAGAGCGGCGCATGAGGATGCAGGCAACTGTGCGAGAAGCGCTGAGAGGGCCAAGTTCGGTGCCCGCTGTGTAAGGATCCGACTTCGTCTTTAGAAGCGTTCCAGCATAATTCCAGCATGTATCTGCTGCGTCAAGGTATCCGAGCAGATACTCCAAACCGGCAGATGACAGTGCAGCGAAGCACACGCAACCATTCGGAGACCTACATGTATGACATGGAGAAGAAGTCTGCAAAATACTCTGGCCGCTAAGCCTTTAAGCACTGACTGTGGCACACATTTGCTTGTTGTCCGACCGTCGAATCTGAAAGCCAGCACCATGAGGCGGACATTGCCTTTGCGTCCCGAGCCACAGCGCCACGCCTTTGGACAAGGACCTGCTGTCTGATTTCGTGGGCCGCTGGCAGCACCTTGGCAGCAATGACGGCTTTGACATGTGTCGGTCTGTATTCTACGGCTCATACATTGTCATGCATGCTGCATGCGTACCTACGCATTGCATGCATGTGTACTACGTATCTGGCTTTGGTTGTGAGCTTGGAAGCGGCTCCCCAGTCTTTACCGCCACAAGCGTGCGCAGTCGTATGGCTGTCCCACTTTCGGAGGATTGATAAGACAGCGACTCAGTGGGGAGTTCCTCCTGGCGTCGAAGATGCCCTAGTTCGTGTTTGATTGGGCCGGACCATTGTCCTGGTGAGGATAAGTAAGGAGTGCTGCGAGGGCTGTACAAAATCGCAACCGCTTGGGGAAGTTCCAAGCAGTAGATGATAGGCCACTCCGGTATGTCGTAGGGCCGTAGTAGGGCCTAGGGTGGGTAAACTTGATCTCACGGAACCCGATGCGTCTCGCCATCTGCTTGGGATGTCTGGTGTGAGGCTGTCCCGCCAACCCGGCGCGCCCAGCTGAGGATTGCCTCCCTCGCCTCACCTTTCAAAGACGGATAGGGTTGACACTAGTATGGGTATTTCCCCACATAGGGAATCCCGCATTATACCCCAACATGGAAGAGTCCTTAAAGGAAACCCCCCCCCCTCAAAACAGAAAAAAAGCACCCCACATCTTCGGAAACCCACATATTTCTCTGGGTTGACATCTCCGTCTCCCAGGGATACATCGGATGTCGACTCCCGGCTGCTTTGGCGGCTTCCCGGCGCCTTGGCTTCGTCCTAGTTCCCCGTTTTTTTGTTTTAGGCATCTGAGGGTTTCGGGATGAGGGTCTTGCCTCCACAGTCCATGCTTAAAAGGGTATAGTGCTCGGGTCTTGCCTTTCGCAAAAAGGGTTGGGTTCTAAAGGGTCTTCCGGACGGTGTTGTGAAGGCTGTGGCAAACTCTTGGGTTTACGGCTTCGGGTGTAGCAAGACCAGTTTCAACCAGGGAGGTGTTACTCTTCTGCTGACTTCATTCGGACCGTTCGGGTGCTAGGGTGTTGAGTTTCTAAGTTTAAGGTTCAAGTGACTCAAGTGGATTACGAGGCGACTTGTAAGGGGCAAGTGCTAGTAACAATGCCACTATAGTTGCGGGTGGCAATGCCCGGTCTCAGTAGCCGGCTGCTTTCCACTTCCCTGTCTCCCGAGGCGATGAAGCCGAGAACCGGTTTTGGTGTGACCCTTTCATGTCACCGTGCGAGGCCGCCACTCTCAGGGTTTAGGGTTTAGGGTCAGCTGCATGAGAACATGAGCTGTCAGTTTGGAGTTGCTAGTTTGGAGGGTCACGAAGGCAGCATGCAGTCAGGCATCGTTAGTTGACTCTGATAAGCGTCCGTTATCGACATTGCCAGGCTGAGGACAAGTGTTTCCGGTGAGCTGCTTCGCATTGCAATGGTGCCAGGATTATGTTGAAGTGAAGGTTGATGTGGCGATCGGCACGCTGAAAGCGAAGAATCTTTGCCAGCAGATTGGAAGTTGGGCTGCTTGTTGAGTGCATGAGCCGGGCGGTTGGAGAGCATGAGCAGGATAGTGCGCTTTCTCATCGACGGAGATGGCAAGCCGATCAGAGCAGCGGTGAAGCATGACGGGAGTTTCTTGCATGAGTACACCGTGCGCCCTGCCTGCACAAGTGCGAGGAAGGTTGCCCTGCTGCAGGCTTGTGCATCTCGTGCCCTTGCAGCCGAGGGAAGTCATCGAATGGGATCCACAGGCAGATGCCGGATGTGGCTGAGCGTTTTAAGATGTGGCCACTGAGGCACTCTGGACAGCAGTGGTTTGTACAGAGGAATCAGGTTGCCGTCACAACGGCCAACAGTTCGATGTCGGAGAGGCTCGCTACATGGGCTGCTATCCGACTGAAGCGACCAGTAATTAATCATGGTGGCAAGAGCCAGAGCTTGTGGGGCTAAGTGACGGCCTCGCGTCAAGCAGCCTTCCTGCTCACCCGCCTTGTTTGAAGATTCTGGCTCTCTTGTTCCAGCCAATTCCGCTGCTCTGAATTCATGCAACACGTTTCAAATAGCGGTTGTGTGGCCTCTTGGCCAAATCTCTGTTTCAAGTGTTTCGTGGGAAGCCTGGCACAGATGCTGTCTGACACTTGCCAAGCAACATGTCACCCTGAGCACCAAAGCACCTGGACGGCCTTCGCACGAAATTTTTTAAGCAGTGCCTACCTTGTATGTAAAGGGGTACGACGAGCCGGTGCCAAGCCGGAGCACATTTCACAGTTTTTGCCTTCCGATGCTGCCAGATATGCCAGGCAGCTGCAAGCAAAGTCTGCCACAACTCTGTACATTCTGCACCGCCCCGCAGTTACAGTGTAACTTATTGGGAAATGGATTATTAAGGACACAGCGGTTGGCCTGGATTGAAACGTTGGTGCGGATCTGACAACAGAGTTGGAGCCCTTGGGGGCTCGCCAAGAGCTATAGGTCCTTGATGGGGCATACAAAACCCGAAGCCAAACCTGCATAATCTAACGCAGTAGAACCACCGTCCCCAACAATGACGCTACTGTGATCCCGTTTCTGATCTGCTGCAGCATGCGGCTAAGTGACAAGTGAGCACCATTGCATTACCTTTTGTCAGGATTGCGCAAGCTCACCTGCAGGCTTCCAGTCCCTCTCAAGACCTCAAGATTTGGAGCTGCTGCACCATCAGTCGCTTGGTGATGTGCTGAGGTCTTGAAGACGTAGCAAGCGAGAGTATGTTTGTAATGTGCTTCACTAGCTGAGCAAAGACTTGACCAAAGACCTGACCACGCGCATTGCGTTGAAAACAGAGTCTTGCGAAGAACATCGCTGTTGTCGAAGAGTAGATGATGAATGCTGTATCAGTTGAGATGCAACTATGTCCCTAATATGCGCAGAAACGCATTGCATTCTGCCAAGCCTGGTAGCAGATCTGGAGAGGAGTTTTCGGGGCCATTCATCTCCGGGTCCACAAGTGCTTGGAACTGCAAGTTTTCGCTGCTCACTTCTAATCAGGAGGCTCGTAATGGATACCCTTGGCCCCTTGGTGCATCTCTTTCCAGGCCCCGGTAAACACCAAGAAAGGAAGCCCCATTGATCTAGGATGCCTGGCGCCAGTAGGGGCCTTTATCCCACGCTCCCGCTGTGAAGATCTTTGGAACCCTTGATGCAAAGTGGGGCTATAGAACTCCGAAACGACGCCTGGTCTAAAGCCTTGCAGACCCAAACCTCTGGAGCTGTTTTCTGGCGAGCTCTCAAAAAAACCCGGACTCAACATCCGACATCTTCTTGTCCACAACTTTCCACATGCAACCTCAACATCAAGGCCTTGGTGGGGTGGCCTTGGCCTCTGTGCAAAGAGCCCCCCCAAGTTGCTTCTCAGGCCTGCATCGCGCAGTACGCATGCCTGAAACGCATGGGCAACCTCTGGAGTTCATCGCCTATCCGTGCTGGACTTATTGACTAAAAAATTGGCATGTGTCGGCATTTCACTTGGCTTGCTTTTGTCCAAGCTCTGCTGCCACGCGAAAAGGGGGCATCAGTTTCTGCACCGTGTGTGCCGTGCGCGGAAGAGACGTCCCCTTGCCCCTCGCCTTGCGCTAGCGAGGCCAGGAGGCTTTCTGCGCCGCGCACTCGACATTGGTTCTAGTCCCGAAGAAGCCAAGCTTGAAAGAAGTCTTCCACCTGGCCCATTTTTCGGAATGCTGCTCGTACGTAGTGGTTTGCAGTGCAGGTGGGGAGTGGGGAGGCGCCTTCCGGTGGGCCTTCTCAGGTCCTCATGTAGACACCAACCAGGATGGTTCAATCCAGTGGACGGCCATCTTGCAAACCTGGCTGTGATTTTGTGGAGATGGCAGTTACAGAGTTACAGAGGCTCTTAAAGGGATCTTGTGACAGGTACTTGACAGGAGATGGCAGCCTGGGCAAAGCAGCGGAAGGCATGCCGAGGGATTCATGCGGGTGCTTCCAGATGCGATGTGTGGTTCAGCTGACCCATTCAGGTGCCACAATCTTCCCCGATGGCTGGTGTCGGAGATTTGCTGTTGGCACCTGCACAGTTCAGCTTCAGAAGAAGTCCAATTGACTGCCCTGAGCTGCGGTGTAGACTTAGACTTTGCAGCTCTTGGGATGAAACTACCAGGAGCCATGACCTGAACGAGTGCTGCGCTTTGGCCGCGCCATCGCCCCAGGTATTGCCAGAGCCATCAAAGGACGCAGAGGTTTAGAGCCGTTTATGGGTTTACGGTTTCGGTGCTTTTCAAGAAAATAAGGGCGTTGCTTCCTGCTCCAGGCAGCAGATTCGAGAGGCAAGACGTCTTTGGCGTGTATCATGTCTCTGTGTGACCGTCTCCTTGTTCTGTCAATCTGAAACAAGACCATCTCGTTCAAACATGCGACATAGCGCTTCCACACATGCGGCTGAGAGTTGTGTTCTTCCTGATGTATATGTGCTTTGCCGTCCGTCCCTAGCAATGGCTACGCAGGCCATCTATCCATGGAACATTGTCCAAGATTCCCAGCTTGTAGATTCATAGGTTTGGCCACTGTTGAACAAAGAGCAGCCAAGCAAGGGCAAATCATGCTCACAATGCAGCAGAGAAACAGCATCCATCCTTTTCGTAGATGACCGTACTTGGCAGCCATGGGTGTACAAGGCTGGCTTTTGTGTGTGTGTGTGTGTGTGTGTGTGCAGATTGGCCCGTGTTTTTGTGGGACTTTGGCTGCTTGAGGCCTTTGGGACCTGGCGTCCCCAGCAGGGCAGCGAGTCAACTTTACTGTCTGGCCCCATGACCAGGGAGGGCTTCGGATTGCGAGCATCTGCACCTCCGGGACCAAGGCCCTCGAGAACAAGGTGGTCGCCGTAGATGCAACCTGGCCTGAGATGGGGTGCTGATGGTTAGAGAAGTCTCGGGGACCACAAGCTGGCAGCGGGCATGTTCAATACATGTCGCCAAGGCGAGCATATGGATGTACCACTTCCTGCAGCTTGGCTTAGCGTGCCAACTGCTGCACCCCTGAGTTTGAACTTCGATTCTTACACCCTGACTGGAGCCATGTTCGCAGGAAGGCCATGAGAGATGAGAAAGGCGGGGGGGCAGCTCACCCTGTATCTGAACGAGCTGGCGTGCCACGGTGCTGCTAGGTGATATGGTCAAAGGAGCGCACATGATTGGCTTCTTTCGGCGGATCTGCAAACTGCCTTCCGGCATCTGTACTGTGGAACTTGAGTTTGACCACTGAGTACACTCTGCCCCAGCTTCAGCCCCAGGAGTAACGAGCTCCTAAGTCGATGCAGTCCAGCTGCACAGTTGCGCATGATTTGTGCAAAGAAGCCCAAGGTTGTACCTCAAGATCAGACCAGCGACTTGGATCGCAGGGGTTGCGCAAGCCTCGCAAGGCATGAAATGCACGCAAGCGACGGCGCCACGTCTTTGCTGATTCTTCCGTGCCATGCGAGAACCTGTGTCATAGGCATAGGGTTTAGGGTTTAGGGTTTAGGGTTTAGGGTTTAGGGTTTAGGGTTTAGGGTTTAGGGTTTAGGGTTTAGGGTTTAGCCAAATGGCCTTCTTACGGCCTTTGTGAGCCCCTGTACAATCCCTTGGCCTCCCCTGGTGCAGGTCTTCGTGTTTGATGGGCCCCCGCCAGCACTGAAGCCCCTTGCTTGCCTAGCGTGCAAGTCCTTCTTTTCAGAGTTCTTATAGTTCTAAACTCGTTTGGATTCTCTGGGTTTGGGGTTTGAATCTCTTTGGCTTTGGCTTCTTTGGTTTGGGTTGAGGGGGTTTTTAGACTTTCCTTGCTTCTTGGCCCGGGGGGGGGGGGGGGGGAGGGGGCGACACGAGCTCGCTGCCCAGAAGAAACCCTGAGGTGGCAGACTCTCCGGCTCCGGGCGCAGCAGCGTGCCTCAGAAGAGCGACTGAGGCGAAAGGCGGCCACCTTGCTGCAGGGAGGGCGCGAAGTTCAGATGCCCGGTGGTTCGAATCCGTTTGTGCTGCGGACATGTGCATACATATTTGTTATTTGCGCTGTGTGATGTGCTGTGCATGATGTGGACATCCGTATGCTGAAGCCATGCATTTCAGCTGTCCCTTCAGTGTGCAGTATCAGATCAGGTGGAGAAACGCCTTGTAGATTTCTGCAAGTGGCAGTACGCAATCAAGACCACCAGCATTGAATTGAAGATGTATCCTATCCTTTTTGTATTGGTCCGGGCAAGCTTGTTGTGACTTGGTCACATGCTTGATTCACAGCAGTTGCATCGACAGGTGTGCAGAAAGGGCTTTGATAGTAGCCGTACTGCCCCGAGTATCGCAACAACGAAACCCAAATTGTTTTGTCTGCCCGCAGCCTGTTCTCAACACGGTTCAGATCCACGGTTGCAAAGGGAGTAGTTCTGCACATCTCAGGTAGAGAGACTTCTCCGAAACCAGTGCCTCACCTTGCTACAGTGTGATTGCGGTGCCCTGCTAGACCGTCAGAGCGCATTGCAATGTCGCCATTTTTTGCTTGTACAATGTTCTCACATCCTGGCAGTGATCATTGGCCGAGGGGTGATAGGACCTGATGCCTAACTAAGTTGCCTCAACTCCCTCTCTATCTCTCTCGCTCTCTCTTTCTCTGTCTATTCTCTTTCTTTTTTTTTTTTTCTCTCTCTCTCTCTCTCTCTCCCTCTGTCTCTCTCTGTTTAGCTTTAGTTTTGGAATTGCAGTGTGTGTGTGTGTGTGCAGTCTGCATTGAGGCTGCAGCAACATCTACTGCGCGCAGCTGGTGCTGCCTCTGCATCTGGCGCAGCCGGAGCTTCTGCCGTTGAAGAAGTGAAGGAGCCCTGTACGACAGAACTTCAACCCCAATCGGCTGGAAACGAACCGCCTCAGTGAGTTGGGACCACGGTCTTCTTAGACTTTGCACCAGGCGGACGACGTTGCTGCAGAGCCTGCAGAGAACCTGGAGCCCGAAGGGGTGCAGGCTCGCTATGAAATCCGGTAGTTCTGACGTCAAGCACATGTGTTCAGGCCCCTCCCCTCACAATGTGCCGCAGGCCGGTGAGGACGAGGGCTCCCAGTCGGAGGCCTTCGCTTCTGAAGTGGCTCCAAGCAGACTTAGATGACCTGGCCAGGCCTCGGTGGTTTCTGCGCATCCAGCGCCAGAGATGCCAGCAGCAGGCAGCCGCCGTTGGGAACGGCGTCGTCACCGGCCTTAAAGGGGCGGACAAAGTTGAGCTCAAAGAGACTAAAAAAAAAAACTTCCTTACCCGAATTGGTCATGCGTTGGTATACAGAGCAACCCGCCCTGACCTCTGAGCATGACCTTGTTGCAGCGCGACACGAAATGGTGCCGGGGGATGTTAGCACACTTTCGCACCTGCACGGTGACGCTTTCATCAGCTCACAACCCGACATGTCCATGTAGGGGCTTAGGAGGCTCTGCATTTCAGGTCAATCTTAGCCATGGGTACTCAGGTACGCGCAACGGTGCCGTGCCACTGCCCTTTCGCGGATTCATGGCCAAGCGCCGCGGCGTTTCCGAGGTGCGGCTTGCCATTTGGGCATTTCCCAAAACAGGTACCGGGGTACCCCGTTTATACCCCAAATAGAACCAAGGGACCCCCAAAAAGTGTCCATTTGGGGGACCCTGACATGCATCAGCATGCGGCCATGTGGAGACTGCTCGGCTGCTGCCGGAGACCGGGACAGCCAAGGGACAAGAAAGCCAGTCGTTTCTTCAAAGGGGTCATGCAAAGGCTGGAGACTTGCTAGAGGCCAGGGCCACAGTGGGACAAGAGCCAAATGAGGAGATTTCCATAGATTGCATTCCCTCCCGGTCAAGGTTGGCCTTGAACTTTGGCAACTGAAGGCTGCCCAATGAGCCGTAAGATTTGAAGCACAAGGCAGTGGCCACGCGCACCCTTTGGCTGCTGTGGGAGTTAATTCCTGTAAGCATCGTTACTTCCGCGAAGCCGACACGAACCGATTAAGAACCTTAACCTATGCCCGAGCTAGCTTCCAAAACTAGTGCAAAGGACAGTATGTGGTTTTCTTAGACTTCGAGTTGGGCCCTGTGTTATGAAGGTTTTGCGGGTCATTGCGACAGAGAAGGCCATGAGAGCCTGACTGTGCCTTGATAAGACAGTAACAAAACACAGAACAAGCGTGGGCCTCAGCGCTCTAGAAGGCAAGTTGCTACATGCAACCAATGCCGGGCCATAATGTAACATGATTTCGGCACGAACTGTCTAGCCTTCAAGGAGCTCACTCGATTTCAATCATGACGTGTTCCGTATCTTACCCGGCTGCCCTTGTCCAAGTTATCTGAACTTGAGAGTCAACATCACCTACTGAAGGGGGCAGGCAGCGCCACTGCTTGTAGTGTGCCCACAGGTTGTTGTGCCTGAGCTTCCAGATGAGCCACTCCGCGACATCCTGTTCCTTCGTGGCAGATGGGCTTTGTGTCGAGTAGGGTGGAGATTGCTCGATATTGGGGCTAGGGACCCTCTGCATCGGAACTCATCCGCTTCTGGAAGGTGCCTTTAAGGGGGCCCTATCGTACCCAGGAGTGATCTTGCTTGGCCAGGCAAGTGCCTGATCGTCGAAATGCCAGAGGTCGAATGCGCCAGCCAGACGAGTGGAAGGCACTGAAACGAACGCATGCAGATGATCATAAACCTTTAGCCTTAAACCCTAAACCCTAAACCTAAACCCTGAGCAGGTCACCCTCTGGTACTTGTCAGTACCCGAGATCATGAAAGCCTGACATGGGCATGTGCCTTCATGTACCCCTCAAGATCCTCCGTCCCTTGTTAAACGGAAAGCCACTGAAATCCATGCCTTGTGGATCCCAGGGCTACGCGCTGCCTGGCGGGGGAATGGTCACAGTGCCTTTAGATGGCCCTGTCGCATTGGAGGAGCTTGGCAGACTCCGCAGACATAGCAGTGGTGACGAAGAATGGGCTTATCAGCTGTAGCTGAAGCGCTTAGGTGTGAAAACGCTGCATTTGCAGGAGTTCGAGCTCTTGGACCCGAAAACCAGATACATGTTGCTGCAGCGTGCGCAAGAGGATTCCTGGGAACGGGCTCGGATTCGCCGTTGGGCTTGTTACCAAGAGCCCCCCCCCCTCCCCCCACCCCCCTCCCTTCGCCGAACTCATGAGCGGTGGTCTTCATCCTAAACACCGGACCCCGTTGTATGTATCCAACTTGGGGCATGGGTGTTGTTGCGTTTTGGGTTTTGGGCTGGACAGGCCTGGTTTGGTGAATCTCGCGTCAAGTCGGTGGAGGCCAAGGACGATATGGGTGCCTTCGTGAATGCTTCTTGTTTGCCTCCGGTTTCCGAGCGTGTTCAAACTTCTTGGGCTACCTCGGAGCACCCTCACTGTCCATGTTGTCATGGTTGGGTTCAGTCATGCCAGAGCATTCACAACACATGGCAGTGCACGCAGATCATTGTCAGCAGAATTCGCTGTAACCGCTTTTACGCCCTGATGGCCTGTGCATCAACCGGGGCAAGCAGCCAAGGTTCAGCTCGAGATGTTTCTGCACCTTGTTCGGTAAGCAGCTAGGTCATACCGCAAAGTGCTCAAAATGGCGCAGTCTAGCACTTGCAAGACTCTTGGTTCCTGTAGAGGCTAGAAGCGAACCGGCAATTCAGGTTGAGCGTTGCTGTCTGAGGCGGCACATTCGCACCAACAAAGAGCTGGAGAAGGTGAAGAGCTCCAGCTCAAACAGATCCTATCCTTACCACAATGCATCCGGAAAAGGCAGTGTGTTCAACTCTCGCAGAAAGTGTGGTGTGGCTGAGGAGAAGTATGGCTGAGCAAGCCGCCCACCCCGCAGGCGCCTTGCACGGCATCGTGGTGAGATGCACGAGAGAGTTGTTCAAACTTGGGCCACTTTTTGGTGCCATAAACTATTGAGTTTATAAGGGAAAGGCTCGGGGAAAGGCCAAATCACAACCTGCATGAGCTTTTGCTTGTTATGCTGTGTTGCATTTACCTGGTTCTGTAGGTGTCCGAAGTCACGAAGAGAAGGAAGGCATGTCTTGCGGGCTGCTGCTTGTGTGGCAGGTGGTGACATGGCCGAAGGCGAAGTCTACCGCCCACCGAGCTTCTTGCGAGCACAGGCCATGCTGGAAGGTAGCTGTAGTAAGTAAGAGAGACACTCTTCTTTTTGGGGGGGTCGCTGTAGGTCGCTGTAGGTCGCTGTAGGTAGCCAGTTACCAGTTGCCCAGCAGCAAGTCTGCTTCCGTACCTGAGCAATGTCTGGCAGGCAGAGGTTGCACCGGCACCTGAAGAGGCCGGAGATTTTGACATTGGGCGCATGGGCACGTGATGGCCATCTGAGGACTCTGAGAGCAAGGGCAAAGGCAGTGGCAAAGGCGGCAAGGGCAGAGGCAGAGGCAGAGGAAGGAAGCAGCGGCAGTGCCTCGGCGAGGGTTTGGCACACTGCGCTCCATTGCGCCGCTGGTGTTGCGCTCGGAGGCTCGATGGGGCCGATCCGAAGCGATTCGAGCCATTGCGAGGCCATGCGAGTACTGTGTGATGCATTTTCAGAAGCTGTGGTTAGGTAAGTTAGGACAGCAGGTGCAGAAATAACCATCCCGAAACGAAGGTCTCCTGGCTTGGGGCTTGGATAGGATCTGGCAGTGTCAGAACTTCTCTGCACCACGCAGGCTCAAAGCATATCTTCCGCTTTTCTGTTTTGGGTTTTGGGCCTTCCTCAGCCAACGCGAGTACCAGGTTCAGGCGATGCTTTATGCAGATCGCGGAGCACATCACAGTGGAGTAGATTTTAGTCCAAGATCACGAAGGAAGCAAGTTCTCATCTTCAGCCCGCTTGAAGAAACTGTTCCCACTGCAGCCATGGCATTTGCTAGAGATGTCTTTCCCTGGCGCGGTCCGCATGCCCCCGTTCGACTGGCGGATGCCCGAAGTGCGATTCCGATGCCGATGGCACGTGGATGGATGCCACTTTCAGGAAGGAGGCCCTCAAGGCACTTCGCTCCAACTCAGAGGGCTTCCTACGATGACCTCTCGTGGGGGCAGGTAGCCGCGTCCGTGCTCGCAGGCATTGCATGCGCGGCAGTGTCCGAGTCAAAGGTGAGGCATCCTTCAGAGAGCCAGGACTCAAGTTGGCGGGAGTTCCGTGCGCGACTGGTGCAGAAGGAGCAGGCGGAGAGCGGCAAGGACATGCTGCAGAGTGAGGATGCTGGTTGGCTGCATTCCACAACGCTCATCGAGAAGGGTTCCGTGCTGATATCACGTAGCGGGGACCAGTTCACCTTGGATCAGCAATACTTTCTGCACTCAATCATCCTCATCTTGAAGAGGGATCAAGGTGGGGATGTCGGTGTGATCTTGAACCGCCCATCGGAATGGAGCGTGGAAGACCTGGGTGTGCAACGACCCAATGCCCTGAAGGAAGCGGAGCTACAGCTGAGGAAACTTCTGGCGAGCCTTGCTAACTTGGGTGGGCCACGTGTCGAGGAGCAGCCATGGAAAGTCTCCTACGGTGGGCCCCTGCATTCCGCACGGGATGCAGAGCGTGGGCAGCCGACACTGCTGTGTCTGTACCGTTGTGACGGTGACAGCGACCAGGGAGAGGAAGTCTATGTCGCCCACAATCCCTTAAAGGGGTAGAAAGCAGAGATATAAGTAAGGCTAAGGCGAAGTAAGGGGGCATATTTGCCTCCGCCCCTCTCAAACCTCTGTAAAAAAATAGGCTTCAAGCACAGCAAAGCGAACTCCCCTTGAGGAGATCATCCCTGGCCTCCGTTGGCTGCCCTTCAGCCGCGCAAGGGAGATGGTGGCAGCAGGCGCCAGGCAGGAGGACTTCCTAGTCCTCTCGGGCTACTGCGGCTGGCACCGTGGTCAGTTGCAAGAGGAGCTGGACGCTGGCAGCAGCTGGTTGCTCGCTGCAGCGGATCACCAAGCTCTTTTTGGCCGAAAGGGATTGCTCAGCGCCAACCGAAACCTGGGCCTCAGCCGGTGGAAGAAGTTGCACGAGAAGTTCCTTGACTTTGCCTCCATCGAGAGCCACGATGACACGACCTCCGAGGCGGCGCTCAAGCGATGGATGGCAGACCTCGCACCGAGGCACCTAAACCCATCAAACCCTTCACTCAGGGCGTGCTCTGAGCGCCGTCTCCCGGCGATCATGGCGGGAAGTCTCCTCCGCGGTTCAGCTTCGCATTGGATTCTTGGGGGTCCAACTGAGCTGAGACCTTCAAAGTCCGGCACCAGCAGTAGCCAGCCACCAGCACAGTACCTGCACAAGAGCGTGCTCCTGGTTCTGACCGACATCACGCCGGATCAACCCTCTGCGGCTCTGATAGAGAGATGGCGGTAGAATCAGACTCTAGATTCGCTTCGCGAGGAGGTTGCTCTAAAGTCTGCCGTGCTCTGGCGCTGATAAGGTACTGGTGCTTCTCACGGGGCCGAAGATTGGAGAGCTACCAAAGGGCAAAGGGGACGTTTTCTTCGGAGGGCGCCCTTGCGGCACTGGCAATCAAAGGTCGTGTATGAACGCCGTTCGAAGCCATGTTTCGTTCTGAGGTGGGCGCAGCCCAGAAAGACGCATGAAGTTCTTCAAGTACCTGGTGGCTACATCTGGGGCCACATGGACTTGTTTTGGCCGCCTGTTGATCGCTATAAACAGTGCACTTTGGGACTACTTGGCCAGGCCAGTTGACCTTTGCCCCCGGCATCTTACAGGAGCTCCTGGATTTGGGTGCCGAGCTTGGATTCGTTTAGTGTGGGGTGCTGGTAGAGTGTCGTTCCGAAGATCTTTCTTCAGCAGACCCCATGGCCACTCGTTTGGCAATTCATCGATGCTGAGGTGCAGTGGAAGAGGCATATGGGTCGACTCTGCGCGAGGTCTCCCCCTTGTTTTCTCTCTGTTGGGGCTTTGAGAGGTTGAGCTTTGCAGGTTCTCGAAGCTCCCCCGGCACTTCGCTGGGCCACTGCAGGAGGATGCCTCGACAGCATCAATGCCGCAGAGCCAGCATTGGGAGTAAGTAAGCACGGCACTGGATTTGCACCAGGTGTATCTTGTAGTAGAGTGCGAATTTTGGCCAAGGAAGCGTCAGCGGCTTTGCTAGGGAATGCTCAGCAGAAGCAGTGGTATCGACACTACCTGGGCATAGCTGTCGAAGAGCTCCGTGATTGACCACGTTGTCATGCCGGATTTTCACCACCAAGTCTTGTGAGCATAGCACTTCGTGCAGCCATGACTCCTGGAGAGGAGATGAAGCTTCCAATCCCGCTGGTGGGAAGCCACGCTGCAGTAACTGGTGTGGCGCACGCGGCACACCATCCTTCTATAGCTTTGTAGGCTTCATCCGACTCATCCTCTCCTCTTGCGAACCCCGTTAGGAGGGTTCGGGGTTGGGCGAAGCTAGCCGAACTTGAACAGCGTATTATAGCATATTGGATTTCTGTACTCCCCCGCCCCAAGGTATAGGTTCTACGTCCTATATAGTATTATCTTGCCGCCTTGCAACAGGAAGTTTGCGTGGCAAGTTCAAAAAACTGTTTAATTAGATGCGAGAGCGCAGAAGCCTGCAGTGGGCATGGCCTTGTGAAAACGCAGTGTGCATCAAGCGATTGCGGCGTTGTCACTCTTGTGGCAGTTGCTGTGTCTCACTTGCTGGCAGTTGGCTCAGAGGCTGAAGTATTGCCGGGCACGATGTTGCGTGCGTGAGCATGCCTGAAGCATGCATCTGGCGATGCACATCTGAAAAAGGGACGTTTGTGCACCTCACCGTTGGGGTGACTACTTGTAAACGTCTGCACGCGCCTGCACGCGCCGCGCCGCCTCAGCAGCCGGTTGGCGCAAAGCAAGGTGTAGCATGCGCATCGCCAAGGAAAGAAAGCCAAGTCTTGTATCACTCGGTGCAGCACCACGCAAGTCATGAGTTCGGGAGGCAGGATGGCTTGCAAGAATTTCAGGTGGGTGGGTTGTTTAGGCGTGGGCCGACAGCCGAGAACTCCGCGGCATCGATTTGGGCCCCCTTCGAACTCATGACATATTGATACAGACGGCTTTCTTTCGCGTGCGATGCGCATGCGACATCCCGCGTTGGGCCAGCCCGCCTGCAGAGCGCTGACAATTCGGTTCGCCACACTGCCCGGACCCAAAATCCCGTGGCAAGGCGGCGGTGAGACAGAGGAAGCGATGTCCTGGCTGGAGGCGGTATAGGGTTGACTCCGTGATCGCGGACTGGGCCTGCACCTTTGGCCCCTGAAGTCTGTAATTCGACCACTGCTGCGGCAGGCTCCCTCGGCTGATGAAGCAGAATCGGAAGACTTCACGAAGGCCTGGGATTGCCCAAAGGAAGTCGCATGTCGTCTTCAGTCTGGTAAGTTTTACACTGTTTCCTGGTATCCCTCAACTCCTTAGACCCTGCGCAAAAGATCGACATCTCTCCCCTGAGAAGGTCGCTCAGAATTCCTTGGAGGAAGATGTGGACAATGCGGAAGATCTCTTCGGGGCATCCTACTTTGATGAGGCAAAGTGCCGTGCAGTCACCCACGCTCCATCGCGCATGCTTCTCCCGGCACTGTCAAAATTGCGAAGCCCTTAACCTTGCCAGCCATTTTGGCACAAGTCTTTGTTGGTTCAAATGAATTGACCAGGCTTTTCATGCCCACTACACCTTGATGTCTTACTGCAATACTACCCATGAGTCAGCTAGGCAGGTGCAGACCGCCAGAGTTCTTGACAGACCAAAAGAATCCAGAACCAAAAAAGATGGCAGGAGCCAGATCCCGAAGTGCGCCCGGCCAAGCGGTTGCGACACGAGTTGCAGCTGCGTGAGGAGGCTCTCGGCTCCGGAGATGGGTATGCTTTTCGAATCCTGTAGTTTTGGGTGCCCTGTACTTATGTATCTGATCTATCTCCCAAAGTCTCCTCTGCTTCATTCAATTTACATTCGCGTGGGCACCAGGGTGGGGCAGAACTGGCCTTTGAGAGTTGTCAAAGCCCATCGCGACCGTCTTCCGATGCCACAAGTGAACTGGCTGCATCTGTGTGCCACGTGAATGCGGCGCATCACTAGCCAGCAAATGGTTGTGTTTTTGGGGCGTGCAGCCATCGTGCACCCACCCTTGGTACACAATGCAGTGATCAAGGCAAGAATGTCTTCCGTGAGCATGCCTCTGTCTGCTGTCAAGGTTCGTCTGCGCGCGTTTCGTGGCAGAGTCTGGGTCCGTTCTCGCATGCGGAGGAAGCGCCTTGGACTGCCAAATCAGAGAAGCGTATACAGCAATGCTGATGCCATTTAGGCAGTCACCAACGCCGCGTCCACGGTGGCAGAGGCAAGTGCAGAGCCAAGCGAGATGCAGGTCGAGGTGGAGGTGGAGGAGGCGGTGGAGGAGGTGGAGGTGGAGGAGGAGCAGGAGGAAGAAGAAGAAGATGGGCTGGAGGAAGATCCAGCGCATAAGCTGCGGAGCCAGGACGTGGATGAAGGCAAAGGGCCACCTCCGGACGAAGCAGTCGATCTTGAAGGCTGCAGTGGGAGCCAGAGCTGCGAGACCGGACTTGCTTGTCGACCTTCTGATGCCCCTGTGTTCACTGGCCGTGGTTACGAAACCAGCGGATCTCTGACAAGACCACCTTCGCCAATGGAGGCCTGGATGCCTGGAGCACAAGTTAGAGCTATCACTCAGGGATCATCAGCTCCCTCATCATCCCTCCCTGAAGCCTGGGCCTCACGCACCTTGGCGGTTTAGGTCTGGGCTTTCCCTGAGTCAGTTCCCCGGACGCGCGTCACCCATGTGTACCATGCCGGGCACCGGGACTATCGGGATGTGGCAGGGCCCGAGAGATGCAAGCGACTGCCCAAGCGAAGGGCCAACGAATGTCAAAGAGGCACGGGGCGCTTGCAAGTAGGGTGCCGAAGGATCCTGGCTGTAGTTGCTGATTTTTGCACTGTTGCTTCAAGGCTTCCAGAGCTCTGCAGGTCCTGGACGACACTTCTCAGGTCGCACGGCCCACTGTGCCTCAGGTAGAAGCCGACGAAGGTACGCTGTTGTTGCCACTGATGCTGCGTTACTTCTGCAACGTCGCTTTTCTGGCCAGGGCGCGACTCTGGCATGCCGGTCGACTCTCAGCCGGTGGCGCCCGACATAACGCTCGCGAAGGAGAACGCGCGAATACCCACGAGGGCTAGGTAACATGCTTGATTTTGCCGCTCAGATTCCCACCATGCGTGTGTGTGGTAGCCTGGTTATCTCGGCCCCCCCCTCCCCCCCCCCCGCCAAACAATTCGGAGTGCGGGTAGGGGTCGAGGGTGGAGGGGAAGCCTTGAAGCTTGAGGGTCGAAGCTTTCAAGTTAAGGCTTTCTATTCAAAACTCATTTTGAGTTTTTGGCTCCCTGCACCCCCCCCCCCCCCCCAATCATCCCCGGGCCGCGAACTTCGCATAATTGCTTGTAACCATTGTCAATAGGGGTGCAGGGGTCTCCCATATAATTTTTCCGCAAACGCCCGTAAAAGCAGGTAGCGATCTAAAGCGGGTGCAATATTTAGATAATTTCAGCTCGGATCGCCGAGACGACTCGCATGAATTATGGCATTCTGTTTCGAGTTGAGTCGGCAGATGGGGGAGGTGGCGAAAACCATGGCTCTTGTATCATATTCGTTGCCGTCACCTCGCCATCCTTTCACAAGGGAGCCCGTGATGCTGGACAGGCCAATGTGTTACCAGACTTCCGTGCCAAAGTTGAAGTGATGGCATGTGAAGCTTCCAGCCTCACAACACAAAGCCTCGACAATCAACTGAATTAGCTGTCTGTTCTGGCAGCCTTTCAGGACTTTTGCCCATCTCCTACAATCGTCAAAAACGGCAGAGACAACCATTGGCAACTCCGAGCAGAGAAGGGGGCCCAGATGTTTGGGAATAGCGCCAACACGATGAGGAAGTAGTTGCAAGGGACCCACACCGAAAAGAAATCAAGCAAAGCATGAAGAGGAAAGAGGGGATTAGAGGCGGGTGCCTGCTTTGTGCTACCCATACACCTATGGCCCGGACCTTGGCGGATTGTACTGCTTGCTTCCTGCGCAACTCTCCCAAAAGGCGGAGGAGGAGATGGAAGGGGGAGAGGGGGAGGGGGACGTGGAACAAGCCCGTGCGGATGTCAAAAGTTGCGCAGCATGCGAGAGCGGCGACGCAAGCGACGTGCCGTCACGTAGAAATAACAATCGCTGTACTCTTTGAGGTTGTCTTGTTGGCCGCGGCCCCCGGGTCTGCATTTTGCGGCGGTGCTGAAGTGGTACAACATGGTTCCAGTTACTAAGCGTTGCTATGCACGCTTCTTTCTCAATGGCAAAACTTGCGATCACCAGAGTGAAGCGTGTCAGCTACCCAATGAGATTAGCAGTGATCTTAGTTCGAGGTCAGCTCCAGAATGCTCAGAATAGCGAGTGGTGTCTGTAATTTGAGTCGAAAGAGGAATCAAGAGGAGCAGTGCCAACTACGCAAGTCGTCAAACTAAATCCAGCATTAGTCACTCAGTAGACTCGGTATTTGCAGTTTCATGAGTCTCGTGCTCCTGACTTGGGCAGCTGTCAGCCGTTCGGCTCCGATTGATCGTGGTCTCTGCAGAGCAGGATTCAAAGAAGTCGGAAGCTGGGTGCTCACAAGGTCCCAGCCCCTTGGCTTAAGGCGGTTCGGACAACACGTCTGGTTCAACAGTAAGTCTTGAGGACTGATGCCTCAAAGTGCTGCCAAAGATGCAGCAGATTCGCCGCAGACAGGCAGCACCATTATTTGCAACTGCTGCGCTAAAGCTGCTTGCTTACCTGCTTGTGTTCTCGCAGGCGAGGTAACAAGCAAGCCACCGCTGATCAATCCTGTGGCCGAGGTGGCCGAGGTCAGCAAGCGGTTGACAAGCAACCAAAGCGCACCCGCAGAACGGACAAGCGTTTCATGCTGTGCCACACAGGCTGCCGCCAGAACAGCAGCTGCCGCAGCCGCATCGCAGATGGCACCAAAGCCGACGCTTGCCGAGGTTTTGAGGAAGAGGGGTTCAAGGGTCAGTGGCTGGGTGGGTCCGCTTGTTGTGTGCGCGTTGGTGGTGCTGCCGTGTCCGCGTGGTTGCTCAGGGGCAGCATTTCTGCCAGTGCTTCATCGACCGATGGCGTGCCCTCGGCCCAGCCATGCAGAGTTCTGGTCAGATTCTTGTGTCACAAAGAGAGAAAAGTCTCCACCAGCGCCCAGCTTTATCTGCCTCCTGTGCCAGGTGGTGCAATACGCACTTTCAGTACCGCTGGCGGTGTCGGCAGGATGGTGTCTCTGACGCTTGTGAGGCAGGGCAGATGAGGTGCAGCGCATAGGCATGCCATGCCCGCCCTAAGCAGCTTCTTTGGGCTGTTTAGTTTGGGGGCGAGACGTGGGCACCAGGCGTCGACACCTCAACCATCGAGTTCTTCAGGCTACTTGCGGGGAGGAGCTCTATCCCAACATCCGAGGGAGTTCTGTGCCATCGATCACTTCAGGTTCTAAAGGCAAAGCAACAAAAGGCAAAGGGAAAGGCAGTGGAGGAGGTGGACGAAACGCGACTCTGGCAAGCTCACATGAAAATCCATTTGTTCCATCGTGCCTACCATGATTTACGCGTGTCAGCCGACAGGTGAAGAAGCTACGCTCGGAGATGATGAGCTTGAGGAATGGGGAACGGCTAAGTTTAGTAGACTTCCTCTCAGCGCTGTCTGGAACCCGCGGTCTTTGCCGAGTCCCCTTTTGACCCCAAACCCTTCTTCGCCCTGCAACGTGGACTTCTGTTCAGCCGAAGCGAAAAAGCCTAAACCCTAAATCCGTGCACCCTAATCCTTCGTTTTTGAGTTTCCAGTGGTGTGCAGAGCCATAGCCCTGAAGAGGAGCTGGAGTTCCAGCGCCTAGCCGCGGAGCTCGAAGATGAGCATCGCGAGCTTAGGGCAGAGGCCGGAGATGCAAGTGGGGTTTTCGCAAAATAGGGTTACATTTCAAGGGTTCCCTTAGTTGCGATTCTAGTGTTTTACAGGCTTCAGAGGTCCGTGTTAAATAGTGTTTTGGAGGCATAAGAAGGAAGTCCCAAGTAGTGCAACTTTGCGACTTGTCCAGTCATGTAATTTTTTGGTTGAGCTCTAGCTACAAGATGTTGGCGCCACCATGCCAACCAAGCTTGACGGCGGGAGCAGAACTTGTGGTTCCAGTACCATCCAGTACCCTTTGTATGTCTTCTAGGGCAATATGAGCCACATCCGCGTACTCACGCGAGAACTGCTTGGCTGCAGCACCACTTCAAAAGTTTGTGCAAGGCCCGGCGTGCAAAGCGAGGTGCAGATGTTGTGACGCCGGAGATGCAGGCACTTGTGACATTCATGCCTATGCGGTCCTGCGCATGAACAAGTGTATGCTTTGCTGACAAAGCGGAATATATGGAAGCAGAAATGTGTGCCACCTGTCCTGGTCTCCATGCATTCCATGCATTTTGCATGCTGCTGTCAAGGCTGATGTGGAAGCATTGCTCGAAGCCCTTGGAATTCCATACGTGCATGCGCCAGCAGAGGCAGGCAGCACTTGTGAGCATAAATGTAAAGAATTCGTAATATATGTGTGTATGAAAATATGTACATATATGTATACATATATATATATATATATTGCGTTCTGTGGTTCACGTCTACTTGATTAAGTACCTATATGTATGTTTTTATTAAGTATCTATATGTATATTATGTTTACAGAAGGGTGCGCTGTGGGGCCTGCGTTTTTGAAACGCTCTTCGTTGAAGATTCCGTTGTTTGAGGTTGGATGGGCGAAGTTAAGTAGTTGAACTATACTAAGGTTAGATGGGCGTGGTTGACTGTCATACGTTACTGGTTAGGTAAGGTTAACTTGATTTCTTATGGTTGATTTTTATAGAGTTTTTTTGTGTAGAGGAAGGGTTTGCTTATAAGCAGTTGGCTTGCTTATAAGCATTGATTCTTTGGGGGTGGGGGGGAGGGGGGGGCTCTTCGTTGAAGATTCCGTTGTTTGAGGTTGGATGGGCGAAGTTAAGTAGTTGAACTATACTAAGGTTAGATGGGCGTGGTTGACTGTCATACGTTACTGGTTAGGTAAGGTTAACTTGATTTCTTATGGTTGATTTTTAGGGTGGGTGGGGGGGGGGGGGGGGGAGGGGGGGGGGGGGGGTGGGGGGGGGGGGGGGGTGGGTGGGTCTTGGGTTGTGGGGGGTTCCCCCCCCACCCCCCCCCTCCCCCTCCCCCCGTCCCCCCTCCCCCCCGCTCCCCATCCCCCCCCCTCCTCGCCCAGGTGCCTGGATATACAATCTTTAAAATTTAATTAGAACTCCATTGAAATTTTAAAGGTTTTAAAGCCTTTAAATTCCTTTAAAACCTTTAAAATTTAAATGGAGGTCCAATTAAATTTTAAAGGGCGCGGGCCCCCTTTAAAATCTTTAAAATCATTAAAATCTTCAAAATCTTTAAAATTTAATTGGACCTCCATGTAAATTTACATGGTTTTAAAGGTTTTAAAGCCTTTAAATTCCTTTAAAACATTTAAAATTTACTTGGGGAGGCCCTCAATTGAATTTTAAAGGGGCGGGCCCCCCCTTCAAAATCTTTAAAATCTTTGAATTTAATTGGACCTCCATTTAAATTTAAATGGTTTTAAAGGTTTTAAAGCCTTTAAATTCCTTTATAAAATTTACTTGGAGAGGCCCTCAATTAAATTTTAAAGAGGGTGGGCCCCCTTTAAAATCTTTAAAACCTTTAAAATTTATTTGGACCTCCATTTAATTTTTCAAGGTTTTAAAGGAATTTAAAGGCTTTAAAAACAGTTAAAACCTTGAAAATTTAAATGGAGGTCCAAATCAATTTTAAAGATTTTAAAGATTTTAAAGGGGGCCCGTCCCCTTTAAAATTCAATTGGGGGCCTCCCCTAATGAATTTTACAGGTTTTAAAGGAATTTAAAGGCTTTAAAACCGTTAAAACCTTTTAAATTTAAATGGAGATTTTAAAGATTTTAAAGGGGGCCCCTCCCCTTTAAAATTTAATTGAAGGCCTTTCCAATTATATTTTGAAGGTATTAAAGGAATTTAAAGGCTTTAAATTATTATCCTGTGTATGCGCGCGCGCTTGTAAATATAGAGTATCCAGGATAAAGAGTGTCATGTGCATGCACACCTGCTTTATAAACACTTGTGCCCTGCAAAAACACTAAAGAAAAACACAGGCCCCACAGCGCACCGCCCTCTATGTTTATATATATATATATATATATTTATTTATTTATTTATTTTTATTTATGTATTTATTTTTACAATGGAAAGCCAATGGTGGGGCATTCCCCGAAAGTGGCTGCCAGGCTGAGGCGCAGTGTGCATTTTTGGCTGAGGCAGGAGGAAAGCTCCTTTGGGGGGCGGGGGGGAAGCCCCTAAACCCTGAACCCTAACCCCTCAATCCTAAACCCGAAGCCCTAAACCGTGGGTGCTGCCGGTAACAGCTCTCAGCACCCGTTACTGTGAGGCTCGGCTCGTGGATGCCGTGGCCTCTGATGATTCAGACGTGTTGGTATTCGGAGCCCGTTTCTTGGCTGCATGTGGTGACTGGGGCCAAGGCAGACACAGTCTGATGTTGGAGATGATGCTTGAACATGCTTAGGCGAAGTGTACAGGCGGCTGTTCTCCGAGGACGACAGCAAGCCATGCAGCTGGCAGCATAGAGCATCGCAGAGTGTCGCAGAGCATGGTAGAGAATTGCACTGACTGTCTGGTAGAGAATTGCAGTGACTGCCTGCTTGCTTGCCTTGTCGATGGCTCCAGGCACATAGGCGGTCCCATCGTCACAGAAACATTGCAGACACATGTAAGTCTCGCGAACCTGCCCTTTCTAGAAAAAGCCCCGCAAAACCTGGAAGCCTAAGCCGGTGGTAGCAGGCTGCACTGTTCAACCGAAGCTTGTGCCTGGGCCTGCTGCACCTTCTTCCATAGCTGACACCATGGTCTCAGAGTACGAGGCTTTTGTGATCCTTGCCAGAACTTCAGGGGCCAGCAAGGATGCAGCAAGCCAGGTGCAGGGCATGTGTGTAAGAGATGCGATCCGAGGGCCGCGGCGTTTAGCTACTTGGTGCCCTTGCTGCTTCTTTGGGCAACATGGCATCTGGTGCAATCACTTTCTGGGTACCTGGCGAGCTCCAGGACTCCACCATACTTCACAGTATTACCACGACTTGCAACGACATGTTTTTTTTTTTTTTTTGCCTTTTTGGGCAAATTTGCCAGAGGCAAATGGCTTGCATTCTTGTTTTGCTTTCTTCCACCAGGAGCACGAAGCAGGCCTCAGACTATGCGGCTCAAGCCAGCAGCGCCGAAATGCTGGCTTCTTGGCGTTGCAGGCTTTGATTGAGTAATGAAAGTGGTGGATGGCGATGGCATGACGTTGTACCAAGGGGTGTCGGCGTATGGGCCCCCAAATCGGTGCCAACGACCTGGTTTTTGCAGGGCAAAGGGGGAGGGACAGGCAATGGAAAGTGAATACCAGAATGACCATACTGGATCGCAATCTCCAGGGTTCAGGATGCGGGTAATTAGGCGTCTGCGGGGACTGCAATCGTACGGTTGCCACAAGATAGGAGTACTTGGTAGCGGAACTACAGGCTGTAGGGCAGCTATGCTGGTCATGTTATGCTGTGCTATGTGTTTGCAGCCCTTTTTTGGCCGACTGGTAACTGCGTTATATGCCAAAAGCCCCGAAACCCGAAACCCTACACCCCCAACCCTAAACCCTAGGGTTTACGGGTGGCGAACCCTAAACCCTATAAACCCTAAACCCTATAAGCCCACGACTTAGGGTTTCGAGATGTTTCGAGGTTAAGCCTCGACAGCGGCCGGCCGGCGCCAATCCAAATGCAGCTGCTGAGGACTGCGGCGCACTTCATGCTGCCACCCTGCACAGGGTGTAGGGTTATGCACAGCTGAGGATTTCATCAAGTCTTGGGGAAGAATAGTTGTCCTGCGATTTCGGGGTGCCCCCCAACCCCCCCCCTTCCAGCTTAAATGACATGAATGACATTGAGCCAATGCCGAGTCGCTGAGTGCTCAGCGGCACACATGTCGTTCCTGCTAGGTGTGGCCGGGGCTCTTCAGCTGCTGCACCGGACACTCGGCAGCCAATCTCCCATGCCGACCTAAACCTTGGCAAGTAGATGCAGACTCTTCAAGTGTGCTTTGGGACATTGGGACGTCTTGTCTCATGCCATAAAGATTTAATAGTGCCGCCGACCCCAGACCCAAGACAGTCGCATTGGGGCGGAAGGCAGGGTGGAGCGCGGGCAGGCGGGGGGGGCGGGGGCGGGGGGGGTGGGGGTGGGTGGGGGTGGAAAGGGGGGCAGCGGGGGCGGAAAGGGGGGCCTGACTCATTTGACCAGCTCTGGTGAGAGGGTTGGGGCGGAAGGCAGGGTGGAGCGCGGCGGGTGGACAGGGGAGGTGACGGTCGAGGGTTGGTGGAGTTGGGGGCGGAAAGGCAGGGGAGTGATGAGAGCGGGGAGGCGGTTAGGGCGGGCGTGGATTGGAATCCCTCAAACTACAGATTTGTCAGGGGCGGAGTTGGGGGTAGGGGCCTAGGAGGGAAGTGAATTCCAGTCCAACAATAAATATTAAATCCTGTGAAGATAAATAGAATTATAATAAGAGCAAAGAATAATAACCAAGAACTATTAATAAGAAAACAAAATGAATCTGATGTAACTTCTAAATGTTTAGATTTCCAAAATACCAAATAATACGTACAAAAGGGCCTCATAAAATATTACTATTTTTCTAGCCCTTACAATTTACTATTAAATGCTGGGGAAAATAGTATATTAAATGTACTATAATTCTATGGACAAGTGAATGAACGGAGTGAATGACACACGCATACAATATTAAGGGAAGAGAAGCGAATTTACTATATTTTAATGCGTTCACGGGATGGGGGGGGTGGGGGGGTGGGGGGGGGGGGGGGGGGGGGGGGGGGGGGGGGCGGGTGGGGTTTCAGAGTCAAGGGTAAAGGGTTGGTGTCAGGGAGGGGTGGGCATCGGGAGGGGGAGTGATGAGAGCGGCGAGAGCGGTGAGGGCGGTCAGGGCGGGCATGGACTGCAATCCTTAGAGATTGGTCAGGGGTGGAGCAGGGGGGGCGGAGGCCTACAGGGTGGGGGTGGCGGGGGGGTGGGGGGGGTTGGGGGGGGGGGGGGGGTGGGGGGTGGGGGGGGGGGAGGGAAGGGATGGGGGGGGTGGGGGGGGGGGGGGGGGGGTGAGGGCGGTGAGAGGGTGAGGGTGGGGGGGTGTGGGGCGGTGGGGGGGGCGGGGGGGTGGGGGGGCGGGGGGGGCGTGGGGGGGGGGGGGGTGGCACTGGACCCTTTAAACCACCTGAATGGATGGGGTGGGGGGGGGTCAAAGGTCCAATTCAAGGCGTCATGGGTGAGGGCCATGGGTGGCGGGGTTTGGGCATGCACTGAAGCCAAACAATGCAAAAACACTCCAATTCAAGGTGTCATGAGCAGCATGCTGTGAGAGCGGGTGAGGGCGGTGGGGGGTCTTCACTGACGCCGCCCTGCTACCGCTGGGGTCGGCGGATAGTCGTGGCTGGGTAGCTGGTGCGCTTGGAGGCCTTCACCCCCCATGGCCGTTGGTGCTGAAGTGAACCCTGTGTCGGGATTCGCCAGAGGCAATCGGATTTGTCCGAGCGCGATAGTCGAAAGCAATACGCAAGTATGTACCATATCTTTTATGACACCCGCACATACGCGACATAGATCACACCAAGCAAGATTTTGCAACATAAGCAAATCAAGCCGCACAAGCACAGTGACAAATACGCATACACATGCCGGCACGCACGTGCACACGTGCGCGTGCACTCACTCAGGTGAATGAAAGACTTCTAGGTAGATACAAGCAAAGATGGGCACGAAAGCGTTAAGTTTTGGATGACACCTTGGAAGCCTACCTTTCAAGGTTACCACACACATAAACATGGACGCATATATACGCACACATACCTCTACATATGCACTCATTTGCCAGATGAGACCTTTTCATCTGCAAATGCATGTGCTAGACATAGTGCATCATATGTCCGCACACACGTGTATGTGTATGCATATGTGTACGTGTACGTGTACGTGTGTGTACGTATACGTGTATACGTGTATACGTGTATTCGTGTCTTCGTGTATACGTGTATACGTATATACGTATATACGTATATACGTATATACGTATATGTATATGTGTATACATGTGTATGTATAATATATATATATATATGTGGGTATTTGTATATGGTTTTGCTGCACACAAACACGCATACGCACAGTTCGGACTTCATAAGGTGGCCGTCCAGAAGAACAGCCATCTGACATCTCGGACGACGAAGGAGGTTTTGCAACGGCTTTTTGGTTCAGAGTTTCGGGTTTGGGGTAAGAGGGATGTTGCGGCTACAGGGATGTAAGAGCCGAGTTAGTAGGGTTCATTGTCTGTGCTGTGGCGAATCTCCTGGACCGGTGGCGATTGGGGAACCGAGTTGCCGAGAGAGGGCGCGAGACAGTGAGAGAGTGAGACTACTGTACGCACTGTGACGCGCACGCCCCAAGCCCCAAGTGCGCGGGGGCTTTGCGCAACCCTCCCCTCCAGCCCAGCAGAAGACGAAGAGGGCCGGGGCTTTGTGATGAATGTTCCTTTTGGTTTAGCATTCGAGGGGGCCTCCGCCCTCCGCCAAACAATGTCGCACGCCGCCCTCAGTAATCAGTATGAAATGGTTTGTGAGGTTGTGAGGGGCTGAGAGGGACAACCAAAACAGTACACATACCAAAAGCCAGGGCACCTCGCATGCTACTTGCTCCTTTTGGAAACTTGTTTGTGGTTTGATTACGAATGTTAAACGAACTTACATAAGAATCGGCTCCAGAAATTTTCGGAATCTGCAGTTGGAATCTGGCCAAGCCTTGAAGCTTGAGGGCCTAAGGGCTCCATGTCATCCTTTTTCTCCTTTCGGCCCCCGAAATCCCGGCCAGCGAGCTTCGCATTCGGGTCCGGGTCACCTTATCAAAGGGGTGCGAAAATCGGGGACAACTGGCCGAAATCTGGCTTCCATGCGATTTCAGTAGTCCCCTCCCACTCCACCCCCTAAGACCCGGATATTTTTTGATTGGCATACCTATGTTGGGTCGTTTGGGCATCAGGGAACGGGCATGAACAGCACACCCCTTGTTGGCTTTTCTCTGGCTTGGGCTTAGATTCAGAAGGCTAGCTCAGGCTATCTTTTCTTTTTTTTTTTTTTTGGGGGGGGGGGGGGGGGGGGGCGTTGTTTTGCTGTTTGTTTTCTCGCATTTTGCCTAAGCCCTATAGGCGAAACCCTGAGAGTTGTTTGTAAACCTTGAAACCCAGCATCGGGAAGGCGTCATGGAGCACAAGTTCGGTTTTCCACGCTCCAAGCTGTACAGCGCCTCGTCATGAGAAGCAGGATACCTGCATAGTCAGTGCACCTGCCTCGGCCTCAACGATTCCTTGGCGTTTGGGGGTTTGGCTGGAGGGGGCTTAGACGCCGGCAACCCCAAACCCCAAACCCCAAACCCCAGACCCCAGACCCCAGACCCCAAACCCCAAACCCCAAACCCTAACCTGAACAAATCAAGGCACAACTTTCGCGC